TGAGATGATATGACTATAGTCTTTTCTAAAACACTTGGTTATCATGACTCCGATGTCTATGCCTATTTGTTGCGATAACCAAGTGACTATTTTTATTACTAGAAATATTATCTTTCATGAGAAGACCAAGCATATTGAGATCGACTGTCACATTATCCATGACAAGGTGTTGATGTACGTTATTTCAACACATCATGTGTCATCATCAAATCAATTTGCTAACATCTTTATCAAAAGTATCATTAGTGTGTTGTATGATTGCTTGGGATCCAAGCTGAGCATGATTGATCTATACACTCAAGCTTGAAGGGACTGTTAAATATAACCTATTAGAGGGCTTAGTACACATCTCTCTCCCTCTCTCTCTCTCTCTCTCTCTCTCTCTCTCTCTCTTTATAAATAGAGGCTTGTAACCTCTTTTTTAATTTATATAGATGGCTTTACCATTCACATATAAGTATAGGAAATCCAATGTCAACACATGTGACAGAATATTTAGAAATTCACAAAATACCAAGTCAAACGTAACTCTCGAACTTGAAATCTAGACATTGGCAAGTCGCAAGCTTCAATGAGAAATATCTAAAAAATCACAAAATATCAAAGTCACATGTCTCAAATCAAAAATCTTGACAATGACATGTTGGTCGGAAGTTTCATTAAGGAAATATTTAGAAAATTACAAAATATCAAAGTCACCTACAAGTTTCGAACTTATGAATCTATACAATGATATGTTTGAAGATTATGTGACGACAACAACAGATCAAATATGTTTATCTAGACTTGGCCTCAATAACAAAAATATATGTTGACAAGAAAAAAATGTTAAGTTCAAATTTCAAATAAGATGAGAAAATAGATAGCTTTGAAGCATAAAAAAGGTAAAAGTCATTGGAAAGATTTTTGAAATTATATAACTATTTTTCAAGACAAGAAATGACTAGAAAATACTGAAGATGAATAAGAAAAAGCTTGTGAAGAGAAGATAATGCTCTAATGACTATCAATGCTCCAATGATTATCCATCTCTCTATATCAAGGCTTAATCATCACAAGTTTCAACGAAGCACAAAACATTGCATCTCATCTTCATTTGACATTGGTGATTCAAGTTACATCCATCTCAATGTTTGACATTCTCTATCAAGCCATAAAGTTTCATCTTGAGGGGTTGGTAGCTTAGTTGTGTCACTGAAAGATGAGGTCTCTAATAAGATAGAATGTGTGATTAAGCTATTGATTATGTAAAAATTAGTGTGTATTCTCAAGAAAAATAATAAATTATAATATGAATGATCTTATGGGAGTGAAAGTAGTCAAGTGAAGGACAAATTTATATAAAAAACTTTGATATCCTTGGTGATGAAGAGAGAATTGTGAGATAACTCACACCAAAAGATAAATAACTTTGAGAGAACACATGTTGAGAAAGAGAGAGTTGTGAGATAATCTATGTTAGCACATCCACTAATAGAAAAAAATTAAAAATTGATAAAGGTTGTAGCAACTCAATCCACCTCTCCCATTTGGTGTTTCACTTAGACTTCATTGACCTAACATGGACCATTTCATATAAGTCATTATAGTCATAAACATTTTCTTACATTTGTGGATGATTATAGTCATTTTGTTTGAATTTTTCTTATAAAACATAAATCTGATATTGAATCTATCATTCCCACCTTTTTAATATGGTTCACACATAATATGGACATAAGATTAAAACTTTTAGGTTTGAGAATATCAAGAAATTTCAATTCAGGATTTTTTTCAACAAACATGATGTGTTGCATCAATTTTCATGTGTGAAATGTCATCAACAAAGTTGTGGTTGAAAGTAAATATCAACACTTACTAAATGTGGATCAAGCTTCATATTTTCAATCTAGTGTTCCTATATAATTTTTGTATTGTTCTTACTATCACATTTATCATCAACAACCTTCCATCTTTGATTCTCCACAACAAAATTCCATATGAACTAGTACATCAAACACTTATTGATTACTTTATGTTTCAAATGTTTGGTTGTTTAGTCTTTGCCTTAGCCTTATCAACTCATAGACTTAAATTTCATCATCATGTAAGAAAATGTATGTTCATTGATTACCCCTCAACATAAAAGTTGACAAACTTTATGATAGTGAGGCTAAAGAATTTTTATCTCATGAGATATTGTCTTGTATGAATACATTTTTCTATTTCCTTCACTTACTGCTTCAAACACTTTGTCTAGTCTATTATCATATCTTGTCCTTCCTTGCACCTGAATGGATTGAAGTACTCAATACTTTAGCCAGAAACACACCATCTACACATCCAACCTTACCTCTACTAATATGAATATCTACCCAAAAACACTCTCTTATCTTTATGATTTCCATTGCAATGTCTAATCTCACTTTATCTAAAATTACAAACCCTCTTTACCTTTTGTCTCATTACTTATCTTATAATTCACTTTCTACACATCATAAACAATTTGTGCTCTAAATCTCTATCAATTATGAACCACACTATTATCATGAAGCTGTCAAATTACATCAATGATGAGAGAGTCGATATGTGCTAAATTAGAGGCTATGATAGCTAAAAATATATTGTCCATTTTGCACTTACCAATAAGAAAATATATTATTGGATACCATTTGATTTACAAACCCAAATATAATTATAATGCTTCCATTGAGCGGTACAAAACCTATATAGTTGACAAGGGTTACACCCAACAAGGAATTGATTTTCTTGAAACATATTTCCTTGTTGCAAAATTTGTCACTATCAAACTCTTATTAGCCCTCCCAGCTACTAATAGTTGGTATCTTGTATAATTAGACATTAACAGCGCATTCCTTCATGATAATCTATTTGAAAACGTTTATATGGATCTGTCTTTCAACTTATTTCATCAAGAGGAGACAAATTCACACATGTATATTTATTTGCAAAATTCATAAATCTATATATGGACTTTGTCAAACCTCCAAATAATGGTATTTCAAGTTATCACCTTTACTGTTCCAATATGTATTTATCCAATCTACATCTGATTATTTTTTATTCTCCAAAGGACATGGTTCTTCCTTCATCACTCTTCTTGTTTATGTTAACCTTTTCTTCTTATTATGGATGAGTTGAAATTCTTATTACACACTTTGTTTAAACTCAAAAATATTGGCTCTTTAAGATATTTTTTAAGCTTAGAAATTACTCATTTTACCTCAAGAATTATATTATCTTAATATTATTACATTTTAAAACTATTACAAGATATTGGATTTCTTAGATCAAGACTTATTGTAGTTCTTATAGATCATCAACTATATCACAACACTATGACAAGACAATTCATTGACAATACAACCTAATATTGTAAATTCATTGGCCTTCTTTCATATTTGACACTTTCTCAATTTGATATTTCCTCTTATAGTTCTCAAATTAAATTAGTTTATCACCCAACCACACCTTTCTCATTTGCACCTCACACATCACCTCAATTATTTGAATGCCACACCTAGTCAAATAATATTATTTTCAAACTCAACTTCATTACAACTTTGAGCCTTCTCTAAAGCTAATTGAGCCAATTGTCAAAATTCTTGTAAATCAATTATTAGGTTCTGTATTTTCATCTATGATCCTCTTGTTTCATAGAAAGCCAAAAAACAATTAACTATATCTCATTTTTTTCACTGAAGTTGAATATCATGTGTTAACTGTTAGAACTGCTGAGATCATTTGGATACAACAATTACTATCTGACTTTCATATTAAGATCCTTCTTCTAATCCTCTAATTTCATAACAATCATGGTGTGCTTCATATTACATCTAATTTCACATTTCATGAACACACAAAACATATTAAAATCGATTGTCACTTTATACATGTAAAGTTGATTGATGGTATCATCAAGCTTCTTCCAGTTTGTTCTGATCATTGACATGCACAATTACCAAACCTCTTCTATCTTCTCATTTATCATTTCTATTATCTAAGATGGGTGTTAAAAACATTTACCACCCATCTTGAAAGGAGAGCGTTAGGTACACGTGTGTGTTCACACGTCACCACTTATATAAAATATTATGTTCTAGTGAAACCAATTGAAGAATTTTCTTTCCCTTTTATCTCGTTATTTCTCATTCCATCGCACATGTTTGTTTTGCCTCATGCCAGGTGCAGATTCAGGTCCTACCAGGGTACTACTACATTGTATAAGCATCCTTAATGTTAAACGAGCACCACTTGAGAAACAAAGCAAGAACAACTGAGAACAACATCGTAGTAGTATAGGGGAGGGAGTGGTTGCAGATCGAAGGGACAAGAGCACAGAGACCTGCTGAAGCTTTCCTCTTTTTAAGAGCCCCTTTGGGCAGTTCTCTGATCTCCTCTGGTCTGTCATTCTCTCCACCGGCCTATCTCTCTCGGAAGATTTCCGCTTCCCGGCTGCAGTGAAGGGAAGCGGGCGGGAAGGAAGAGAAAGCAGACATCAACTGTCGATTTGCCCCCTCAAAGAGGAACAGTCGCTGATCAAACTTCTGAACAAAAATCGTAGAAACACCGCCGGATATTTCATGCTTATGTAGATATAACTGTAATCATATATAGATGAGTATGATGGTAGAAGTTCCTCGGACTCCACATAAGGCTTGGAAATAAAGCACTTTTTTATCAGAATAATGCGAATAAAAGTGTTATTTTTTTCTTCAAACATGAACGCCAGGATCAGCAGGGGAGGATTCAGTAAAAGTCAGTCAGCCGTCTAGGCGCACTGGCCACAACTAAGGTTCTCATTCATTTACACTGAAGCCGAGAGGAATCCCTGGTGAAATAGGCCCATGGAATCATCCGTTAGTAAGTGGAGAGCCGAGAAGATCAACAGACTATGTGAAGAGGGAACCTAAATCCAACATGACGTCATACGAAATGCCCATTTGTCAACATAAGACGGCAGCAGAATTGGCACGAGCCCACAGAATCACCCAAGGTCCTTAGCCTTTCCTCATCTTCGATCTTGCATACCTGAAAAAGTCCAGCAAAGAAGCAGCTTATCATTCCACAGTTGCACTGAGAAGCTGGACAAGGAAGAGGACCGGGGACGGGGAGAGTAGGATACTCCAGGTGCATGCCGCCGTGGACAGAAGAAGCCAGGGGGGTGCCCTTAAGCTGCTCCATGGCTTTGGTAGAGCTTTCAACGTCCTAAGAAATCAAATGAATCGGCAGATGAGAAGAATCATATTCATAAAATGGCAAAGTTCTAAGTTCAGATCAATAGCACATGAAATTAGAGGGGGTCCAATGGCAGAAACAAACAGGCACAAAGCTATGATTATCTCACGTTATTCAGATTAGATAGCAATCGACTAAGAGAGTACTAAAAAAAAAGTACACCATATGAACTGTACCGTAAAATCAGCAAAAGCAACCGGCATGCTGCCTCTTCCTCGCATTTTAAGTGTTTGGAAACCAGAATATCTGTCAAGGAAAAAAATGGAAAACCAAGGAATAACTTTACCCAGATCATTGATGCAAGAGGTGTTACTGATCCAAGGCCATTGGAGCAAACTTACTGAGAAAAAAATTGTTTCAATTCCTCTTCAGTGCAGGTTGAATCTAAATTAGCAACAAATAATGTAGAGCAAGGTAGGATTTCTCCAGTTGAATGTTCTTCCAAACGCTCCTGCACCAGGCAGCATGATTCCAGATTGGACATGCATTTAGATCACAGAGAAAGAAAAAAAAACTTGTGTAAAAAAAATAAGGAGTTTCACATTAAAGACATTAAAGGAATTTCATATATTTTTAGGGATATCTTGAAGACCTTCTATCCATGCTGCATATGAGACCCTTTTAATTCTCTATCATGAAACTCCGTTGAGAAAAGATTATAGTGTCTCCTCTAGAGAGAGAGAGAGAGAGAGAGAGAGGCATAAATATAATGCATGTTATCTTAACTGACAAAGGAAAACGGCATAAATATATCAAACGTGATTACACCAAATACCAGACAAATTATAATACGGAAACAGACACCAACATCCCTGAGGAGAGGGAATTACCAACCACTATAAATAAATAAATCTATTAATGAAGATTACCAGTGGATCCTGATCTCCCGGCAATAACCATTTCAAGACAACTCTCATGAAACACAAGACCCAGGTTTATTGATCCAGGCTTACACTGATTGGGCTTGTCCCCCAAAGGCTCAGTCATATGGTGCCAATGTGGGTGCCTATTGAACCAGTAAGTACATGTCGACCCACACCCCGTAAAAAGAATCCAAATGCATCTACATTGACAAGTGCATCCATCATGAAAGGCTTGACAAGAATCCATGCTGGGGAAGAATGATCTGGGCGTACATTAACTATGGATGCTTTTTATTTGTTTCTTGGATAATGGGAATCCCTCGTCAATGAGTTCTGAGAGTGCTGATAAAACAATTGGTCAGCAAATCAACTAACTTAATTGCCTAAAAGATCAAAACATGTACAATGTTTCTGGCATTCCTCCACGTACCAGGTGGTTTATCTATAATCAAAATCATAAGCCTTAACAATATTAAGAGCATATGAAAAGCCTTACCTATAAGAGCATGCAAGGTCATATTTGTGACCAATCACACAAAGTCCACGTAACATGAGCAAATTACTAGATATAACGGTTCCAAACCTACCCATCAAACACACCTTTTTCAAATGTATAACACATGAAAATCAAGGTGATAACGGATGTTTTTCCGTTTATTGCATGCATAGGTTTCACCTTTTAATAATGTACCGGTTCTGTAGAAGTAGTATATACTTCCGTTTGGCATTGAGACTCCTTTTTTCATGTTAACTGTCAACTCTAACACAATTCCAAGACCGGGTTTACGAAAAAAGCAAAAAAAGTGGACTAAATGCGCTGATTAAAAATTTAGATTGTTTATTCGACAACACATTAGTGAAAAAGAAGTAAACAAGTACTCACTTTAGTTGCAGAGGGCGTCTTATCAGCGTGGTCAGTGTCATCACTGCTGAAACACAAAAAGCAACAAAGGTTATATCAACATTACAGGATACCAAAAATAATGATCAACACGGATGCGGTTTTCTAAGCGTCCAATCTAATGCGATAATACCTAAAAATATGGAATTTAACAAGTGTACTCTGAAATTCATCTGAACCTTGGCAAGGCAGGAAAACCACCCCTGTTACCAGAATTATCACTGTTGGTAGCCAACAGTTCGTCAGATCCACTGTCTCCTGTATGTGAAATAAAATTTGCCAAAGCATGCACAAGTGAGCCATAAATGTTGCAAAGTGGACCACAAGGCACACAAGAGCCGAAGCCCAGATAAAAAATAAATTAAAATGTGCCACTCAACGAGAAAATTTACGAAGAAAACGAATGCATGTAGCTATACAGGGATGAAGACGATTAATGTCAGAAAGTTAATCACCATCATTGCTTGAAGTCTCATGATCGCCATTCAAAACCCTGACTCTTCTGTCTGTTACCGTATATGCTCCACCCCCTGAGGAACAATTTGAATTGTGGATCACACACGAATTTACATTTGCAAAAGTACGGAACTGACTTCCATATTGATTTAGCCCCTGGATACAATATGTATGCATATTGATATATATTCACAAATATCAATACTTCCGTACCATTAGCGTGTTTGGTCCGCGAATTTGATCTTGCCAGTTCAATATGTAGCCTAGTTCCCGACTGTGGATCAAATATTTCTCCCTGGAAAGGACTATCGCCAGTAGTTAGTATCAACCAAGGGAATAATTCAACATACTATGCAGTCGTATGATCAAAGTAATCCGTGTTAACTTGGGTAGCTGAGTGCGCAAGGTCCAGAAGTCTTGTCTTACATTTAACGTGGTCATTGCTGCCATTGCAGTCTGATGGTTGAAAAATGTGACAAAAGCGACAACCTGCCCCAGATACAAGGACGTGAAATGAGCCACAGCAAGAACAACAAAAATTAGCGGAAAAAAATAAATCAACAGCGCTGCACAGTAGTTATCGTGCCGCTGAACGTCCTTAGTTGAACAATCGATTGGAGAAAAGACCCACGGATATATCTCTTCATTTCCAACGGCGATGAAACCAGAGTATACGTGGATCCCTAGACTCCGGGCTTGCGTAGAACCCTGGAGTGCCACACTGGGACAATGCCCTAATGCGCAATCAGGTTCAACGGACGGGCTTCTTGAAAAAGAGAAATGAAGAAGAGAGACAGAGATGAAAAGACCCCCCCCAACCTGGTCGCCGCGGCCGGTGTACTTGAGTTGGCATGACTCGAATCCGGGGCGGCGACGGAAAAGGTTATGAATCTCCCGGGGCTTCACGTCGTCCGGCAGCCCAGAGACGAACAGAGTGTGGATCTTCTGCTGCCCAGTCTTGACGTGGACAGCCAGATTGGGGGGATGGCGAAGATAGTGGCGGTCCAAGGAAGCGGGATACCCAGCGGCGTCGACGGCGATCCCAGGAGGCGGTGCCGTCGGGTGCAGATGGGGGGGTTGAGAGAAAGCATGAGACAGCGGCGGGTGGGACACGTGGGCGAGAGACGGATTCATCCCGTAGTTTAGCCATGAGATGTCATGTCCACCTTGCGCCATGGCCCCCGACTAGGACGCCGGGGGAGTTCACTTCTGTACGGGATCCCTACATGAAGAAGAACCCATTCTTTTAGGTGGCTAAACCAGAAATCACAGGGAGAAACATTTTGAAATATCTGAACATTCAACTCAAATCTAATTGCATCCATCAGACCTGCGCTGCTCCTTTGTGACCGCCTCTTGGATTTTTCCTTCCCTCGTACTGAAAAGGACTCTGCGGAGAATCATTCCAGCTTACGCCTCTGAGAATGAAAGCCAAGAAGAACGGGAGCGCCGCCCCGGAAGCAGGAGGAGACGAGGTGGAAGGAAGTTCCTCTCCAGATCCTTCTTTTTGGCGTCTCGGTCCATCTCCAAATGGCCCAAACAGATCAAAATGGGCTGTCTCTCCTGGCCTGGAACCTCCCTTCGAGGCCCAATTTCCCTCGACATGGGCCACGAAGGGAACTCAAACAATATCAACAGAAATACGGAGTTAAATAATATAAATAATCCAAACCGTACACGCCGGACAAATTAGTGATTAAATGGAAAAGAAAGACGACGAGGAATAAGATAAGACCGGGCCGACACACCGTCTTCCTGGGCCGTACAGTGGGACCCAGTACGATCCGAGTCGTACCGACTCGGCGGAGCAACGCGAATGGCGCCAAATCCCAACGATTTGCACGCTCAAAGAAAACCATTCGCGGAGACCGTACGCGGTCCAGTGGTGCCCGTTAAGGATCCGATTCGGGGCCCGGAAGAAATGGGCTCCTGAATCGCCGGCCCATTTGCACCGTAAGGCCCACAATCAGAGTTGATGAAAAAAAGAAGAAGCGTACGGACCCGTCATTAAGCGGAATTATCAGCGCGAGTAAATACGAAATTATTGGTCGACGCTTAATGTGCGAATTAAGTGCGGCCGTTATGGGTGGGCCCCAGTCGTTTTTGCGGGCCCGTTCATCTCGTGGAGCAGACTGGAGATGGGCCGGGCCCGGAAGAGGAGAGACCTTCTGGAGTTTTCCCGAGAAAACCAGCAGAGCTACGGAAACCGTCGGCGTGGGGCTGTTTCGGGTCAACATTCCCGCCGGTGGCGTGATCTTTCCTATTTTGTACCGCCTCTGACGTCCAAGCGCCGCAGGATACCGCGGGTTGCAACTTTAATTCTTAACCAGAGGAGGCCGACCATGGTTAACTTAAGCCGACCCACGTCGCTACCGCCTCTTGACCTTCAGTGTCCAGGTATATAATAGCGTTACCTAGGCAGGAACCACCATTCCAGAAGAGGCGGTCGAGGACGACAGAGCAGCAGCAAGATGATGCTCGGAGAGGGGATCAGTCCCACGCCGGCGATCAGGATCCCGGCATGGCCTGCGTGCGATCTCCGGCCGGGAAGCGGCTTCTCCTGCGGTAATGGCGCCGGCGGCGGCGCAGGTGAGTTCTCCTCGTACCTCTACGGAGAAGGTGGGGGGATGAACAGTGTCCTGCTCCTCCCTACTGCGAACGAGGGGTACCTGTCGGATGAAGGGGGGGAGGAGTCGGAGGCGGTGGACTCGCCGGTGGATGCGTACTCGTGCGATGAGTTTCGGATGTACGAGTTCAAGGTGCGGCGGTGCGCGCGCGGCCGGTCCCATGACTGGACCGAGTGCCCGTACGCTCATCCGGGGGAGAAGGCGAGGCGGCGGGATCCGCGGAAGTTCCATTACTCGGGCACCGCTTGCCCCGATTTCCGCAAGGGGAGCTGCAAGAGGGGGGACGCCTGTGAGTTTTCTCATGGGGTCTTCGAGTGTTGGCTCCACCCGGCGAGGTACCGCACGCAGCCCTGCAAGGATGGGGTGAATTGTCGCCGCCGTGTTTGCTTTTTCGCTCACACTCCGGAGCAGTTGCGGATTCTTCCTCAGACGCAACAGCAGCAGAGCCCCAAGACACCTGCCGCCTCCGACTCGTACGACGACTCCCCCCTTCGATATCACGCCTTCGACGCCTACGTCACGCAAAACATGTTTTCCTCGTCACCGGGCATGACTCCACCATCCGACTCGCCGCCTCTGTCGCCAAGTGGGCCGTCCCTTCGTCGTGTCTCGCTCACGGTGGGGTCTCCCGTGAACGAGGTGTTGGCTTCTCTGCGGCAGTTGCAGTTGAGCAAGGCAATGTCCGTGCCGGCTTCCTGTGGTCTGCAGGTTGGCGGGATGGTCTCTCCGCAGGGTGTCAACGTGCGGCCGGGTTTCTGCAGCCTTCCGGCGACTCCGACCAACACACCCATGGGCAACGGCGGCGGATTTTTAGATGTATGGGAAGAGCCCAAGGAGCGGGTAGAGTCCGGGAGGAACTTGAGGGCCAAGCTCTACGAAAAGCTGAGCAAGGAAAACTTCATGGGGAAGCAAATGAAAGATGATCATGACGGGGCAGCGGCGGTTGTGGGGCCTGATGTCGACTGGGTCTCGGAGCTGTTGAAGTGAACGGGCGGGCCTCGAACCTGCTGAGAGCCTCGTCTACAGAGCGACCCACATCAACGCATTTGATCTCTGCATGTTGTACATTCTGGAAGGGTTCCAGGGAATCTCGGTTGCTTAATTTTGGGGGATTCACTGGCGTCGGATGCTTGCAAGGCCTTCGATGGCGGCTGATTCATGTGTAGAGAAGGTTGCAGCCGAAGCAGGAAGCAGCCATTCAGCTTGTACATAAGCTTTCTACAAACTATCATTTACTTCTACATCGAAGCCTCGTGCTGTGAATTTCTCTGATGTAAAACATTATTCTACAAAAAATTGTATTTTCTCGGTTTGAAGATACGAGGTATCCCCTCTCTTCCTGCTCTTGTCCATTCTTCTCTGCAGGCATGTTGTCGCCGGTGGCGCGGAGGCCTCCCTCGGCGGCAGGCTCTGCCTGTAGCCGTCATGATTTCGATGTGTTGAATCTGCGGGGACCCGACGGAGAGGACGGCAGCCGTACTTGCAGGTCCCGAGAGCAGTTGATGGCTAAGCGACAAGCCTGGAGTGATGGGGGTCGGTGCAGTCTCGCCGCCTTCCTGCGCAGTTTTAAAAAAAAAAGGAAAAAAATATGATCTTGATGAGAAAGAAGCTTCTCCCATATGGCTGGGGAACGTACGGCCGTAGAGTTCGACCGACGGCGGAGGGGCTTCTTCCCGTGACGGCTCTCACGGGATAGAAGCGTACATTTAGTACACGGTGGGGCCCGCGGGCGAAGGGATTGGATATCAAGAGGCTCTCTCTCCACCTCCTCCACGACTGTGGAGGCGCCGTCGCAGACAGTTCGGCGTTGACCCACGTCTCCTCCTGCAGTTCTCCGGTCGGAAAGTCAATCGAGAGGGCCGATAGGTGGCGCGGTGACGTAACGATGGCCAGAGGGTGGATTGAGCACCGGGATCAGGGCAGGATGCTGCTGCCGGCCACTAGAGACGTTGATATGCTATTTATCGTCGCCAAGTGGGTGTACCCGTTGACATGTCCGTCGCCATCACTGCCGTCGGAGGTGTCACGGCGCAGGGTGAACGTGAGAAGAGGGTGGAGCTTCTGTCGCCGAGAGGTGAACGCCGCGTGTCGTCAATAGGGGGAGTCCCTCTGTTTCTTCGCATATCTCATCGAGATCCCTAGCTCGACTGATACTTACTGACTAATTGTATCGGAGAGAGAGAGTGTGTGAGAGAGATATATATACATGTATATACATATATATATATAGAGAGAGAGAGAGAGAGGCACCAGTAATCGAAGTAAGGTTTAGTTGGGTCCCATCCAGTTCATGACGATCTTCTCTACTGATTTTTTTTATCGAAAGAAGTAAAAAAAAAAACGACTGTTTTGTCCTATCCCATTAACTCTGGAGGTCCACGTTGACCCACACGCAATCGAGTCAGCGCATTTCTTTCAATCTCCACGATAATGACGACTGTCTCGACATATCTTTTCTTCCCGGCCGATACGTCTCCTCCCTCGTCATGACACCCCGCCGGCCTGCACAAAGCGACGAATAATTAGGGTTAGGATCGAGTTCCATCAATCTAATCCAACGTCACTAAGGATGGTCGCCGTGGCCTCTGACCGCCGTGGGCGGCAATTAAACTCCGTATTCTCAGTAATTCCTTTCTTTATTACTTTTATTTTATTTTATTTTGGCCAATGGACGACGAAGACTTGAGCGACTTCGATCTACGGCCCATCGTGTATGAAAGGAACGCCAAGTTACAGGCTTGACTCGGGTCAGCCTATCTGATTAGCGCACGGCCTCAGGAGATAAAGCCCAATGAGTAAGTACACACTTGAGCAATTTTTTATCTCTGATGTTGACATCCCCCACGTCAGGATGAAGACTCCTTTTGGGAAAACGATCCGACCCATCAAGCCTTTGCCGTAATACCTCACCGTTTTTCTCATCGTGTTATGGACCATTTGAGAATAGTGACATCAAAGATTCAGAAAAGTTAGTCGATTGTTATGTTCATCATGGGTTTCTCATTTTCGGTATATTCAACCCTTGAAAGAGATGATTTTCTAGGGCGTTTTTAATATATTAGTTTCCTATTTTTCTGGGTGTCATTTTTTTAATTCAATCATATCAGCATATATACGTGCATTCAAGAGTATTAATCTAGTTGGATCTATTTATAATTCATGTATTTTTTAATGATCTTCACGAATTCACTACCATTGGATCGTTAAAGATCTTTACTATACCTTTGAGTGTACTATTATCCTAAAAGAAAATATCACGCCCCCGTTCAGAGAGATCAAAGCAATTAATTAACCCAAAAAAAATAGGCGGCTTTAAGGTGGGTTTTAATTATTTTCGATCTAGTCGAAAGATGAAGCTGGTAAACCCGAAGATAGCCTCGGGTTGTGCAGTCATGGCTGAAACCAGTAAGAAAGCAGCTGAGAGTAGGTGAGGGGCCGGAAAAGGAACACAAGTTGCGAAGTGTTTCGCAGGTAAAAGCATGCCGCGAGTACATAACAGGAGCACAGACAGAACAACGGGGCAGATAGACCGCCGACAAGTAGGGTTCAATAGGAAACAACGCCAACATAGGTAAACGAAAAACCGGATAAGAAGAGGCGGCAAACGTACAGCGTAGATTCGTAGGGCCTCCCCAAGAACGCGTCGGCGGATGGAAGATGTGAAGAGAAGCCCGGCCGCCTCATTTTCTCAGAACACTGCGAGAGATAACGTCACGGACAACGGTCAACGACGCCGTCAACACACCAAGAGAAAATAAAAAACACGCAGGCGGGTATGAGCAGAAACGGTGTAGCCGTCAACACAGTTTGCTCTCTCTCTCTATCTATCTCTATAGATACCCGCATAACGTGCAGGAGTCGTAAAGATGGTTGGGTTCAGGGTGGCGTTGGGGGCAGTTGACTTTTGCAAGGAACAAGGGCAAAGCCTACGATGATGTAGACTTTAACCATCGTAGAGCTTGGGTTAGACAGCGATCTGAACATTATAAATGAGGAAGAGGGCAGTTATGATGAAGACAGAAAGAAATCCCCGGGACAGAATATGGCTAAGCCCACATACACCAACGCAGGGAATCAGATTCCGCAAAGTAGATGAAGAATATGGACGTGGACAGAGTGGGAATGTGACACCATGTTGATCAGGCCAGAAAAAACCTAGATGATTTGACGGCGTTAAGGACTGTTAATCTCAACTTGGTTCCTGTACAGGAATCTGTAGGCCATAGTACCTAAAAAGTACTGGAACCGGAACCACAACAACTTGCTGAAAAGTGACAAGAATGCTCTCCATAATGTCATCGTTGTATGATTTTGGGACAGTCATATTCGTTAGGATGTCATTGCTCGCATGTTCATAGATTTAGCAAATAATTTAAGCAACTTGAAACTAGTATAAGACTTTGCAATAGAATCATCATTGTGTTTAATACTTTACAATTTTCTAGACTGAAGAAATTGTGCTCCTCCCATTTTATGGGAATGGGGTAAATATTTCCTACTATATTTCTAGGTGTTCTCAGAGTAATCCTACATAAGGAAGCCATGCCAGAGAGATACCCTGGATGAGGTTGAACTTTTAACTCTGCAACTCACCACCCTTCAATGTCTGAAAATGAAATGAAACGGGGGCTTGGGCAGTGGAAAAGAAGGGACCTTGACAAATAGGCTATAAGGAAATGGCTTAGGAGGTTGAGGTCAGAAGATGGATTGTGCCAAGCAACAATTGGGGAGAAATGTATAAAGGAAATTATTTGAGATATTCAGCTCGATAAGAGTAATGTATAGAGTGAAGCAAGCGCCCTGGCAATTGATGTGGGGATCTTTCATTTCCGGAGGAGATGGACTTTGGCAGGAAGTGATCAAGTACAAAAATCAAAGTAGATACATGGGGGATATTTTTACTCATGGATCATCCGTTGTCTCTTAGATCTCCAATTCACAGAAAGTTAAATATGGTGCGAAGAAAGAACTCTAGTTGAAATCTTCATTTCTATCTAAATCTCTCTGAAATTCGAACCCTCACTGCCTTTCTTGTCCAATGTTGTCGCACCCACTTACAGATGACAAAAAATACAACATCTGTTTTGCTTTGAATTAGTTTATGGGCAGAATTACTGGGGGGTTATGGATATGGTGCAAAAAAATAAAAGAAATATGGTCGCGCACTGATATGCAGTTCAGAAAACCAAAAATGATAAGCACAAAATCTGTAACATCCTACTTGAAAAAATATGGAGATTTTCAATATTATTATGCTCCTTGTCCGTTACTAATTATTTCTATTGTGAAATGTTCTGTCTGCAACTCAAGAGCGAAGATGAAGATGGAACTCCAGTGTGACTAATTCAATAGATGTACATATGACATCTACCTTTTCAAACAAAACTCATTAAAAATAAGGCAAAGTCAAGCCATAACTTACTTGTACAGATATGCGGCGATTCCCAGAATAATACACAACAGTATAATGTCGATGCAAAAGTTGCGACTGGATCTTAGCTGGAAAAGAGAGTTTTAATTATTAGAACACGCCAAAAGATGTTACAATTGTAATTTGGAGCCTTTTTTTACTGATTTGGTACCTGGTTAACAGTCTCTTTAAGTCTGACATTGGTATTCTTTAGATCAGAAGCTGCCTTATCCACCTGCAAGAAAAACAATCATTACAATCTGACTGCACAATTTTTTCTACGAATTCTATGTTCATAGTTGAAAACATGATAAAAGAAAAAAAAAAGACAAGGAGAAAAGGAAAAAAATGACCTTGGTGTCAATCTCGTCCATCAAAGGAACTTGTCTGTCCAGTTCCTGAAAAAAAGACAGTGAAGAGGAGTAGGGTTATCATTTGACTCCACAATGAACAGCATACCACAAAAAACTAACCTCATTCATGTCATGAGCCATATTTTTCAGGGTGTCCAGTCCTTCTGCAATAGCATCTAAACCTTGGTCCTGTAAACAGAGGATTGCCTTTTCTTATGAGAAACACCATTAACAACTAAAACTACCTAAAATAAATTCTTATTTACGAAGAAAATGTTACAATTAATTTAACTCATATTTATTAGGGAAACTTTCTCCCAGAACAAATGCTTTTGATTTCCTGTTACGTTAATTTGACTCGAATGAACAGATGCTCTTTGCTTCCCCTATTGCTTCAAACAACAGTACCTGACTTGGTTGTCTAATAAACCAAGCGTAGCCAAGGGCATTGAAGCTCAGAGCATACAACCAAAAACTAGTATGCAAATGACAAGTTGGATCCAACTTGCTTTGAACCATGGATTTCTTTCCAGAACACGACCAAGAGTAGAGCAAGTTACATTAGGAAAAGAATAGAGTGATCAACGGATTCCTTTAGTCCTTAAAGAGTTGGAAACCAGTCTGTACCACAAAAAACATCACAGCTACAAAATTTTAATGTTTATTACACACCTTATCTCTCCTCTTTTTCAGTTCTTTGAATTATTCCTGATTTTTTCATCTCAAACTCGAGTGTTCTGCAAGAGAGGAAATGAATTTTGTCACTGGACTTATGCTCTCCCCCACTGCAGAAATAGTTGGCCTCATGAAGATTGCTGAAACTGACCCAGCATCTCCGTCGCTCAATAAGGGGGACTGAAGACAATATGTAGACAAACATTGACGAACAATAAGGATTTTCACGAAAACCTAATTCTGGGAGCTGTTCATGAGAGGAACTTCCTACAACCGAGCAGACCCTAGAATAGGGTATCAAGGAAGACTAAACTATCCGTGCACAACACCTGAGGACAACGGTACAGTGGAAAGAGGGAATACGGAATAGGAGATATATGATATGGCAAGCGCCAGAGCAATATTTATTACAGAAATTGTAACTATTATGCGGAGTTTATTGAGGATTCCTTTGGTTTGGTTTAACCTCTAGCAGGGGCGAATGACTTCTGGGCATGCTTTGCTGATTTTTAAAAGTGTCCAAGGTAGAGAATATTTAATCATCATATTCTAAAACAAAAAAACTTTATAATATATACTAGGAATGGAAATCCACCATTTGTATGGCCTAGACTGAAAAGAAGGTAGATTTGTTCTCGAGCTACTCTCTTTTCATTTCCCTTATAATTATAGTGACATATATAAAGATGCAATCCTTAGGGAACCATTTCTTTTTCGGCTTTTATATTTCACTGGACTTATGTGTTAATCGCACAGAGCAATCTAAATATGAGGGGGAGAAATGAAATGCGATTGGATATTCCACAACATGCAATATAGTCATGTACAATCCTTTTAAATAATACTTGCCTGTTTTATTTTGCGCATTTCATATTCTTGTCTGAATTGACTTGACTGTTCTGTTTGCTCAAAGTACTCACTCTCAAACCGACCATCTGCAATATATTGGAGGGGAAAAGTTAAATCCAATGTGCTCTACATTAATGTCTCGTTCCAAAGCATCGATATTCGAATTGACCACTCTCAAACACATTTGGGGCAGACTTTATGGCGAAACTATATCAAGATTGAACAAATGATTCAGTCTAATCGTGCAGTTTCCAAATATTTTATTGATGACATTACGCATGCAACAACACTGAATTAAAGTCCACATATGGAGGTATAACAACAGATCACATTCTAGGACGAGGCACATGAAAAACAAGTGCGTATGCAGAAAAGTTCTCTCCACTTTGGGCGACTCAAAGCTATTCACTGTCTGCTTCATAGGTGAACTGTCTGTAATCAAGTATAGATTCAAATATCAGATAGAACATAGGCCAAGTAAAGATGAGGAGCTTTTAAACAATACCTAATCCGGACATAGACCAACTTGTAGCGCTAAAAATCGATTTGGGACAGCCACTTCCCAAATCAATGTTAAATAAAGATAGCATATGAACAAAAATATTATAATGTACTTATAAAAATTATGAAGATGATTCTTTGGAAAAATATCATATGAAGTCCTTAAAACACACGAACATATCAGATAGTTAATGAAGAAAAAACCGATTACATGCATTTCTACTGAGGAACCAATGACTAAAAACTACTTCAAAACATTTTCCATCATTGTAAGCGTTCATGTACTGAAGAATAAATGTAAACTGAGTCCTAAGGTATCCAATGACCCAAGTGGCTCTAATTTATAATTTCGCACCCCTTATTAGTTTTGTTTTCAAACTTACGGGTCATGAAGGAAAGCAGTATTCTTATTGCAGAGCTCCACGTCTTTCCACTCTTTTTCTGATGCTCCACTGGTCATGGAAGAATTGATAATCTGTCGACTGACTTGTTATAACATGCACAGTCTTACCCATCCACCTACTGACTCCATTCATATTAGTTTAGCTCCAAAGTTTCTTGGTGGATCTTCCATTTACACGAATTTTGAGTACCGACCACACCAAGATTTCGGATAATTAAAACCAAGGGATGCCACAACAATTATTTTGGTTCAAAAAAATTCCCCAATGAAGATGATTCCTCAACAAAAGGTATGCTCAATGACGATGTTCCAGTAATGGGATTGGCTATGTCAGAAATTGGTGATTGAAATGCTCACATCACTACGTAAAGCTTCACAACCCTTTCAGACTCCTGCAAATGCATGGCAAAAAAATGAACAGTGCCCACCAATAAGCACAGAAGTCAGAATGCATCCTTCAGTCCTCACGGACAAATAATAGTTTCTCATTCAATTGTTGCAAGCATCAACCGACTTAGATAAGGAAAAGAATCCAAGACAATAGAACAAAGTGGTTATGTTTAATTTTTTTGAACGTGCTATCTAAGAATCTTATACAAAATAATCAATTCATTAATATAATTCAATTCTGAACATGTTAGCCAGAAAATCGAGAATGAAAGAGAATATATGTCCTTCAATTGAAACACAATGGCAAAAAAACTTGATAAGAAAATAGAAACTAATGCATTCAGTTTACATTTTCGTTTTTAAGGAAAATTCAAAGTTTCGAAAACAATTACCTGATGTTGAGTCAATTTTCAAGCCCATGCGAGAAACAGTTGAGCTACTAGTTTTTTTTGCGGCAGTCGCAGTGCCATCTGGTATCGCTTGAATCCTTTCCGGAAGAGCGAGGACTAAATCATTGCGTGCAGCTAGCTCTTCTTTTGGAATTCCCACCACCTAAAAATCATTACACATTACTGTGGACCTCATACACCATGCTAAAAAAGACATATCACAGTAAACTACAATAAGCTTTAGGAACCAAACAAGAATACATATTTTTTCTCTATACCCGCTACCAAGATTCCTATCCAAGTGACCATTTACTGTGTGGAGACATCTCGAGCGAGAAGAATTGGACCAATAATTCAACATCTACATCCTCTTCCTTCGTTGGCGCAGTCCTTTTCTATCTTCTGACCTCGGGCATCATCTTTTAGTATGATAAAGTTTAACCGACATATCATCATTATAAGCAATGATCAAGACCACATACAAGAGAGTAGCACAATAGATCTGCTATGTTGAATCCATGCATAATGGTTTATTCCAACCGAATCCTAGGCTATGAAACACAGACCGATGAGTTCAGGGGAATAATATTGATAAGAAATCTAGTTGAACGAATCACAGTGGTTTCAAAAGGATGGAAATTAAAGGATTTGTAAGATGTCCAGGAAAGCCATAGACAAGTTGAAGTAAAGTATGATTTATCCGGCCAAGGACCCATAACCGCATATGATGTAGCAGATCATCACAAACAACATGTTTAGCATTAAAAAACAAAGGTCGAGTAACATCCTTAAAGGTAATCGAAACCTCCGTTCTGGTCGGAGTCAAAATGAGCTACCAAGAAATCAAAAACTCAGAGAAACAAGATCCTCGCAACTTAAGCGGTGCATGAAATCTAGATTGTGTAAGGAAGACGGTCCACCAAGCAAAAAGAAAGAGTAAGCTTCAATGTTGTTGAAAGAAAATGGTAGTTAATAAATAAAGAATAGAAATGCATACAGCAATTATGATTCAACAAATAACATTGTTCCACATTGAAGGGTCAGACAGGACATGCAATTATGATTTTGAAATTCAATCAAGGGTATGATATTTTCATCTTAAATAAGCAGAATTTTTTTTCGATTCATAGTTTTATACACAAAAAATTCCCTAGAGGAAGATAATGGTACTAGGATCAAAGTTAGGTCCCTGCTCCAATGTGTCTACGCCCAAGAGCAGAAGGAAGCGATGACTAGGGAAAATGTAATAGCTAAGAGAAGAATAAAATTAAGCATCACAACATGTAACACATTCTTGGATATCCTCATGCCCTTCATCTCAACATTATACCAAACAATGTGGGAAAATGCTGCTGAAAGTAATGCCAACCTTTTTAAGGGCAAGCCTTTGCAACTTGGGGACCTCCTCGAGCAAGCGGGCCTTGGTCCGCCGGATCTCGGCGTTCAACGCAACAACAGATGCCCGGTTTTTCTCCTTGGATGCCTGATCTGCTTTCTTAAGTGACGGACCAGAATTGGAAGCTAAATTAGCGCGCAGAAAAGGTGACCAATGTAAGGCAAAGTAGGCAAGAACAGGGGGGGAAGATGGGAATGTGAGGCGCGCAGCAGATCCCCTAAGAACGGTAGTAGTAGACCCTTACCTGGAGGGCGGCTTCGATATCGTTCTCAACGTCAGTGAAGAGGCGGGCAAAGGCATCGTCGCCAGAGACATTGAGATCCCTCTGTTTTTCGACATCGTATTTGTCGTACTTCTTGCAGATCGCGTCGACCCGCGTCAGGATGTCAATCACGCTCATTGTTTCTCCCTCTGCCTTCCTCCCACGACCTGCGTCGTTCCTCCTCGGCGGGGAGAGCGTTGCGAGACAGAACCCCCCCTCCGAAGAGAGCTTCCTTTGGACAAATAAAAAAAAAAAATCGGATTTTTTCAAGTATTAAAACTGTCAATTATTGTGGGCCCCAGGCTCCGTTGGCCGGTGAGCTGTCAGGAGGATGGTTCGCCTGGATGGGCCTCAATTGGGGCCCACATGTTATTCCAGACCTTCGACGTCGTTTACAGCCCATTGGGTCATAATATGGCCACAAATAATAAAAAGACCTATATGGGCCCATTGAATGATGGCCTAAATTTCTAATTCGGCCACAGCCCAGTAAGAACAGGCCATAAGATGACCGGAAAGAAACTATGGCCCAAAATCCCAAAGAATGGGCCGTCCGAATCTGGATTCAGTCTATTGGCTCCTCAACTGATCCTCACTTTATCATTAAATTCTATCAGACCGTGTCCTGTTTAGAGTGGGAAACAGAATCAGTGTTGAGAGAGAGACAGAGAGAGAGAGAGAGAAAGGGAGAGAGATAGAGGATGGCTCATTAGTAAGCGGAAGGAACCAAATGATTGGGCGAAACACGTGGATAGATAGATAGATGTGTAGCAGATGGATGGATGTGCATAGAGAGAGAGAGAGAGAACCAGATAAACAGAGATGCAAATAGATAGGCGAAGCTTTGTAGTGAGCGACAGAAGATCCTCGAGGACGAGCCCTTCTGAGGAACTTTAGACTGGCGGAGGAATCTTATCTCGGCCCATATAACCGGCCAACGGAGAAGAGTAAGAAGAAAAAGATGGGGGAGTAGATGTGTGCGTTTCGAGGTTGGTGATCTCGGGGTCGTCGTCGGACAGCTAACAGAGGACGGTGACCACGGCGGAGGGACAGCCACAGTCCACGCGGTCCTTCCGCTGTTGCGGCACAGCGATCGCCATCACCCAGAAGACGCCACTCGGCGGATTTAGACATTTCTTCGAGGTTCCTCTCCGCAGGCCCATTTTCGATGAGGCGAGTTCGTATCCCTGGTTGACTTTACACGGCTCCAGGGATTGTTCGACAGATATTCCTAGGACGAAGGCCAGACTGCTGCGGCCGCATTTTAGTAGTGCCCATTGAAGATTCGCCGACCCGGTCTGCCTTCGGCGGCGGGTGAGCTGGCCGAATATTGATGATGTGACCAAGTTGCTTGCAGAAACTTTGGGGATTATCACTAACCAGAGAAGATCATCGATAGCTCAGACATTGTGCAGAGACTAGAGTTCAGAAAATCTTAAGTTTCTGATGTGGGTCTCGAGGAGACCGCAGAGAACTAGCGTTGGTGCAATTTAAATACGACTACTCCTCTTCCCTTTGAAAACTACGTAGTGCGAGAGAGAGAGAGAGAGAACCGGCAGATCAGGAAGCCAAGCAGTGAGATATAGGAGAATTCTTCAGCCTTGAAACCCACAAAGCGTCTCCGTCTCATTGCTCTAGACTAAGCAACCCTTATGCTCTTTCCAGAATGCCTACAGCGGGTTGACCCGGTTTGCCTCCAACGCATACGGGTTATGACTTTTTGTTCGGCAGTTCAAACCATTCCCTTGCTAAAGAAAAAACTGGGTTCGTCAAATGAGCTCTAATCTCGGCTAAGTACGGAACTCAAAATACCATTCCCGATGTGAAAGTGAACGCATTGCTTCCATTTTTTACTCACTGTGAACTGCCATTTCATGATCGCCTTGTTTTTTAAAAAGATTAAACTATAATATATTTCACAGGGGAAGAATTTCTTCTGCGACCCTCACAGCACTCCGCATGGGGCCAAAGAAAATGCCCGTAAACAACCCTCCCTCCCTCCCCATGCTGAAGGAAATGAGAAACACGCGCGCAGCCCTCCAATGCTAGAACCCCAATGGCAACGAGAAGCGTGTCAAGTCCTCCGGGAGGCTGCCACGTTACGAGAGACAACAAGCCTAAGGATTTGACGAAGGCTCCCACCTCACCTAACAAGCCGACTTCCCCCGTGGTGGGTGCCTAACAACGTCATTGTAAGAAGGAAAGTCCAAATCCCCAAAGTCCGGCCTTTTGATGGATACGAGTATGATTGGCGCTTCAAAAAAATCAGAAAACAAGACGAGTTGGACAAGTGGTACAGAACTCTCTTTCAACGTATTTCATTTATATCCACGGAAAAAAAATGCAGTTTTCGCTTCTTGTTTCTCTCTCTGACGTCTCTTTCCTCTCATCTGTTGATGAACAATGTCGTTGTGGGGGAGTGCCTCAGAGAGTGGGGTGCTCTCCAGAATCCACTTGGACTTTCTGAGAACTTCTCTCTTTCTGGGATTTTTATTTTTTTTAATCTAACCGCAGCGTCTAGCAGAGGACGAATGTGAACTCGGATTTCCCGGAAATAAACGGAGCCACGTCATATCGAGACCCTGTCTAAAATATTGAACAAGTCAGAGAAAAAAATAAAAATACGGAACAAATGTAGCAACGAGGCTGGACAAATAGAGTTAAGTTATTGAACCCATGGAGCTTGTGAAACCGCTCCATGTAAGGTCAACTGGGTTCATTTGTCAACCAGGATTGTAAGTTTCGCTCAGACGCGTTTATTTTATATGGGTAAACGACCCAGGGTCCAGATACTGCCGACAGGCTCTTGATGCGTTCGTTCAGTGTCGGATAGAGGGAACTCTGAGGGAAAGAGGTCATCGTCATCCTCTAAGATCTGCCGCCGCTGCCTGGTACCTGATGGCAGTGGAGGTCTGAGGGCTTCTCATAGGAGTGGCTTCATGCATGCATCCATCTCGCCGACGGGTTTGCTGTTATCACAGAACCAGTCTGGGGGACTCCGACGATCTTTTTCCGAACTCTGTTTGAGACTTCTTCCTTATACAGGAGAGCTGTTCATGTCTGCCGAATGGATAACGATTGATGCGGGTAGAGAGAGAGAGAGAGAGAGAGAGAGAGAGGAGCGATAACCTACGCAGCATGAGAACGACGTGAATGGGGGACCCGTCCCGTCACCCCTCCAGTCTTTTTGCAGAGTCAGACGGAAAGGGTAAGCGGGTTATGGTAGAAGTTAAACTCGCGTCGTCTGGGAGATGGGCGACAGTGTCAATGGGATGAAAACAGCGAGTTTTGTGGTTTGACCGGTCACCTGTAAAGGCAGATGAGGCAAGAGCGCCCCCCCTCCCCCCTCCCCCCCACCCCCGGTAAGGACGGCGGTTCTCGTGTCTCTGTCTCCCCCCCCCCCGGCGTGAACGGAACAAGTCTGCTACTCCGCGTTGTCTCCCTCCATGGTCCCCGCTTCCCGCGTCGGCCGCAATATTCTCTCTCTCTCTCTCTTGCTCTCTCTTTCTATCTCTTTCTATCTCTTTCTGTCTCTTTCTCTCTCTTTAACCCTATGGGCGCGTCCTGATGAGCCTTTGATGCATGGGGGAAGTTTGCACAGAACCCTCCTACCCACCCGAAGGATTGGTCGCCGCTCGAACTGGAGAGGAAGAAGCAAGGGGGCGATCACTCTCATGGCGACTAGCGACGTCCCGTCTCTCTCCTCCGTTATCCCCTTTGACTTGGAAACGCCTGATTAAGGCAACACACGAGGTTTGGTGTTTGCGCACGAGCCGGGAATATCCCGTGCTCAAAACCATATATTTACCACCGTTCACTTCACAGCGTTGACTTGGTACCTAGAGAGGGAAAGAAGGGAGATAGGGGGAGAGAGAGAGAGAGAGAGAGGAGATGACGAGCAATTACGGGGACAGAACCAAGAAATGCAGGCCCGATGAGAACCCGGGGTTGAGCCGGTCTGTCTGTAGACGACTCGCAGGGAGGCGGAGGCTAGCAGGGCCGCCTTGACGTTTAGCGGGGGTCAAAGGAGGGGCGATATCTGATTATAGACAAATGCTGTCTGGAGGAATCCAGAGACGACGTACAAGGTCAAGCAATTGCGCCTCGGTAGCGACCCACGTTTTCTTTAAAAGGTAGAGGCGGCAGCAGCTGGGTAATTTGCTCCTCGAGGCGTAGTCTCCCTGCGGCAGCGTGCCTCCTCCTCTTCCTCCTCTCCACCGTCGGTTTCGTGGGGTCTGCAGAGGTGATGGGGAGAGCGCCTTGCTGTGACAAAGCGAGTGTGAAGAGAGGTCCGTGGTGTCCCGAAGAGGATGCAGCCCTGAAGAATTACGTGGAGAATCATGGCACCGGTGGCAACTGGATTGCACTGCCTCAGAGAGCAGGTCTCCTCCTCCTGCTCCGCAAACGTTTTTTCCTGCTTCAGAAGCCTTCTCTCCATCCCCCACTCCTTTTTACCCCAATGTCGTCCTCCCGAGCTTCGTTGTCTTAATTTCTTTCATTGTCAGATTAAAGAGCCTTCCTTGCTTGTGTCGATAACTCTTTTATTGTGCTCCTTTCATCTCCATCCGTGGCGACGATGGCCTATTCCTTTAAAATTTTCGCCTTTTTTCTCAACGGCATTCGGTTTTGAGTCTTTCAGACCCTGCTCTCTTCCTTCCCTTCTGTGTTCTTTCCCTCGGGCTTCTCCTTGTTCAGTAGAGAGCAGAGAAATCAGGGATCGGAGAAATTGTGACGACTTGCGTCTTCGATTTTCCATCTCCCCTTTTCCTTTCTCTCAATCTAGACCCCCAAGTCGGTCTCGACAATGTTTCATCCCGATCGTTTGACAAATTTCCACACCAAATCCTTCTAACTTTTTCAATCGAAATATCGTGTTTTTTCTTGACACGAAGATCGCCGGCGGAATACCCGGAATTATTCGTCATGAGAACGGAAATATTCCCCAATATACTTTCTCGAATCTAAATTTTGTTTCATTACTTTCCTGCACCAGGCCTCAAGCGCTGCGGCAAGAGCTGCCGTCTGAGATGGCTCAACTACCTCCGCCCTGGAATCAAGCATGGTGGCTTCTCTGAGGAGGAAGACAATGTCATATGCTCTCTCTTCAAGACCATAGGCAGCAGGTGACTTCCCTCCTCCCTGTTCTTCCTTGTTCTTGAGAGATGTGAGCCCTCCTCTGGTTTTATCGCACTAAAATTGTTCTGCTTGTGGTCTGCTCAAGGTGGTCCGTCATTGCCTCGCACCTTCCCGGAAGAACAGACAACGATGTGAAGAACTACTGGAACACCAAGTTGAAGAAGAAGATGCAGGCGGGGCAGGCTGACGTCTACTCCATCACCAACAGAAACGATAGCCTGATCCGTCAGACCCCTTCCCCGCCTCCCCTCCCTCGCGCCATGCCCCTCGTGAAGTCCGAGAACTACGGCTTCGGCTCCTTCTCTATGTCCTCCAAGAACTACGGCTTCGGATCCTTCTCCATGTCCAACGAGAACAGCTCTTCATCTACATTGACATCAGTGGACGCCGGTCTTGGGTTTGACTCCAGCAAACTCGTGCCGGACTCGGGATCCTTCACGACGCTGGCGCACGCCGACCTCTCGAGCTGCGGCGGCAGCGCCGCCGCTTACGCCTTCTCGCCATCCCAGGACATATCCGCAGGCTCCTCTTCTCTCTCCACGGAGAACAGCAACAGCTACGTCTCGTGGCCCGGCAATGGTGGAGGAGGGATTGACGCCTTTCTCATGGACCTTGGACTGGAGTCGGTGGACTTGCTCTGCCCCCCCGGAGGGTACAGCCTCTTGGACTAGATGGGCGAGCGGGCGGGGTGGCTTCTAACGATCCCAGACGACGGAGGAACGACAACAAAAGGGAGAGTGGTGGAGAAATCTCTACAGAGCTTCTCCGGCCATGGCTAATTTTCTTTCTTTTTCCTAATTTCCTCCCTTCAATCCGTAGCAGGTTACCATCTTGTACCTGTATACTTGTATAGAAGATCGTAGTTAAACTTGTGTTTCCGCCGATTTAGGCTTCCAATTCCTGTTCATTTCGTCCTCTTCTTCCTTGTTTGTTTGTTTCTTTCTTTTTTCCTCTCTATTAAACACGAACATGGGTACGATCGCCATCTGCGCCCCGGAAGTCTGCTCAACTTTTCTGCCTTTCTGAGGAAGGATCACGAAATTTGCATGGGGCGGTGGAGGGTGAGGACGAGCGAAGCCCCGGCGAGGGTGGCCCACGCCAGCCATTTTCAAACGGGAAGATTCCCTCTCTTGCATTTTTCTCTGAACGAACCCACTGTTCATGTTCCTGGTTCTTCTCCCCACACGGCCGTTCCTCAGCCTCAATAATTTCTCTCTCCCCAACCCCCCCAAGCCGTCCGCCATGAGAAGGCTACACTGGCGATTTGAACCCGTCAGAGTATCAATTTCGAAGAACCTTCGAAGAACAGCCGCGATATAAATACAAGAATCGACTGTCTTCGTCTGTCCACAAACATTAGAAAATTATCCATAAGATATACCCAGTCTGTAAAGCTCGACGGCTCAGGGCAAGCGCGATGACGTACAGATGTATACGAAAGGTAGCGGCTTCCCTCCACCGGCTATTTTTTAATAGACAACTCTCTGTATATAAATGGTATTAGCGGGATCAGGCGGGGGCGCCCGAGAACGGGAGGGCGAAGGAGGACCTGTTTTCGTCTCTGTGCGACACGTCAAGACGACCGCTGGCCGATTCATATCATGGGCTTATTTAAATGCCTAAGTTCCCACCGCTTCACGTTATGCCCGCGAATTCCCTAGCTAAATTCCTCTAAAAATATCCGGGTCGTATCCTTAAAATCTGTGAGTGCAGCAAGCTAGGGAGTTTTCTACGTTGGGATGGATTGACGCGAGATCAGAGGAAAAACTGCATATATCCGTTGGAATTCATCCTCGTTTGTGTCTCTCGGAAGGCGACGTTGAGGTTTCTACATGCAGGGCACGCCGCAGCTGCTTGGAGTAGCGGCGGGTCAACGCTAGTGTAAAAAGATGGGAGGAGGAATACGGCCTGGCTTTCACTGCGAGAGGAAAATCAAAGGCAAGTGGACACAGAAGCCCAGAGCTCCAGCCAAAGACCATTTACTTCGAAATGACTGGACGTCTAGACACAAGGTTGACCGTTCTCTTCCTTCACTCGCGGCATTTCCTTCGCTGACTTTTCCCACTATATGACGACATTGTGGGGGGGGGGGGTGGGGTGGATCTAAACTAGCGCCATGGCTTATCCGGAAGATGTGTACGATCGCATGATTGAAGTTACGTTTGAATAGACGGAAACCGAGCCTAGGATTCTCACAGCTCATGCTTACTTCCTCTTGACACCACCTACCCAGTGTTAACGGCAGATGAACTCTCTCCCTCTCTCTCTCTCTCTCTAGATATGGCTTGTTCTCTCCGGATCCCTGAAGGTGGCTTGTGGAAGTGAACAAGCGCACGTGGATCCGTCCTCGCAGCGAATAGCGACTCTACGCGTCTCTGCCGCTCGCAAATCCATCCTTTGACTCTATTCTCGGTTGTAGGAAATGGCGGAGCTGGCCTCCTCCCCTCAGCGTTGACTGATCTCCCGCGAGGGAGAACGAGTCGAGGTTTCAATATCTCGCCTTGTAGTAATAACCTCTTCGGGGAGGGGATCGAGAGTGCGTTTCTGTGTCACGTGCGAGTTTGCGAAGGGCGGCTTCTGACTTAATGTGTTTTTTAAACGTGCGAGCTCGTGCCTTTGCCCGGACTGGCGGCGCTGCCCGGTCAACTATTCCCTCGTGGGCGGCCTACGGAGGCGCCAATGAGAGCTGATTCTATTCCAAGGTCCGTGTCCCCCCTTGGGCCAGCTGGTCCATCAGCGCCTGCGTCTATTCTTTAACACACGAGTGGAAGGAAGTAACGGCAGTGTTCTGTTTGAGAGCGGATGTAGGGCGTTGTGCGCCACGGCGTAGACTCTCCTAGGCCGGAGAAAAGTCGCCGTTGAATCACGAGGTCCACCTGTCATGTTCAAGTCAACATCACTGAGTTCTGTATTTAATCCTTTCCGACCGTGGACTTGCCCATAAAATAAATCAAGCCGTCAGCTCCGGCCTTACCGCCAGCTCCGTGCCAACGCACCGCGAGCAGATGATTGCCACGACGGTTCACACATCATCCACTGTATAATGGTGTGAAATAGATTTATGGACTTGGGGGATGCCATTTTTGTTACATTATTAATTTCAACTGGTTTTTTATTATACATTTAGTTTAATAAATACTGGACTTATTCTTCCTATTTATAGTAATAATAATAATAAGATACCTAACAAGTCATATTGCTACTCATTATAAAACCACAGCAAGAATAGTAATGACAAGGATATGTCGATGCGACGTGTGTCCAAAGTCAAACCAGTGGAACACGAAATGCAGGATTACATGTGTGTTCGATCGTGTGACACGTGGCTTTTTTGCGTTCAGGCCAAGACAGTGGGGCCGAAAATTGGGCTCCCAAGATATGGACCGGGACCTGGAATGGGTCCAATAGTGGCGTGCATGTGTGCAAGCCCAGTGGGCTCTTTAGAAGCATGCTACGAGTAGTCGAGGATAATGTTTAATCTACCCGCCTGAACCGGCCTGGTATACTCGGGCATTTCTTTGAGCCCGGCCCGGCCCGGCCCGGTTCGGTCACGTGAGCTAGTTGGAGGGTTGTCTCATCAGACCGACGCAAATAAAGGGCACAACATCGTGCCCTGCATGCGTTGGCGGGCCCCACTTGGTGTCCACTCGCCCACCTCTCGCGGTGTCCCAGATCAGACCCGTTAAGATTGTAGGGCTGGGGGGAGAGGAGATAGTTGAGGCATAATTGCCGTCCGATGCATCGGGGATTGGAGATTATTGAGCTATGGCAGCCGTCCGATGGACCTCCGGAGATGCTATCGCCTGATGCGGAAAACCGAGGCAAAGATACTGCTCTCTATTCGTGTACTGGGGAAGAACCGGAGCTTTGGAGCTCGGAAGACGGTGGGTAACACAGATCCGTCGCGCAGGTGCGTACCAAGGGGAGAAAAAAGTTGGCCCTGGGAAAATTCCCTGCATCTTCTCGTGTATCGGGTATCCGGGGGTCTAATTTTCTTTGGGTGTATGTGTTCTTCATCTTCGATCTGCAGATTCTGAGGCTGCCGTCATGGATTTCATGAAGGTTCTGGATCAGGCCGTTCGGGAGATGTGGGTTCCCTCAGCGCAGGGTTTTTTTTTTATACGCATTGATTTCGCGACTGGAGATTGGCGGCAGAGAAATCTGGATACCATCTGATTATCTTTTTATTTTGCAGAAAGAGAGAGGTCAATTTGAAAGTCCTCAAGGTGCCAGAGATCGAACAGAAGGTGAGGATGCTCATTTTAGTCATTGGTAATTTCTTTACGGAGATCGTTGTGCTTTGGTTGATTCTCAGTTCAGCATGTGAGGTTTTCATTTATTTCTATGCGATGCAAAATACGCCCATTCCGTGACTAGGAGCACATCAAGCTGTACATGTATCCATATTCCTGCTCAGGTCGGTGAGGCAGCACGGAGACATGTACATGTATTCTGGAGGATTAGAACTGGGTGAGAATTCAATCTCGAGATTACTTTTGCCATTTCCTCTTCGGTGGAAATCACATTTCCCCAGGAATGGCAATTCTCGCATTACGCCCACATATAAGAGGGAATAGGGTGAACTCCCTCCTTCCTACAGTCTCTCCCTAAATAAAGTATTGCCAGAGCAATTACAGACTCCCCATTCCCTTGGGCAGGTCACTTCTCACTAACCTCTGAGGTCACTAAAAATTAATCAGGTCTTACGGCTCAGTAGTTTCAACGATAAAAGTAGTCTCCTTTTACAGGCGGTTGGATATTTCAATATCTTCAGGTGTCCTGCACAGTAAATCAAGCTTTAATTTCTTCAGAATCTAGATTGTCACCATGCCAAAAAAAAAGGAATGTGTTCAGTTATATTTAATATATTCTATGATTAGTGCGACACTGGGAAGACGAGATAAAGATGCACATTTTTTCTTTTAAATTTGAATGTTTGCATGGTGCTGGTCACACTGGCAGATTATGTAACCATGACCATAACCACCCCCACTCATGACGAAGAGACACTCTCGTCTGTGGCAGTTGCTGCTCACTATGTGCCACACTGTGGCACATCGTGCTGTTGTGCACATGCCCACACATGCAACCGCACGGCCTCATGCTGGCGGTGAGTTCCTGTGCACAGGACCTCATTCGTCCATGCGAGGGGCGTCACACAATTTGCATGGTAGCTGGTTTTATTGTGTATTAACTTTTCTGTGTGGGATTTAACCGAGGGTTTCCCTTTCTTGTGGTCGTAATTGACACTAATATCAAGTGAATACCGGCATCGAGTTTGGTATTGATAGTCCCACATTTAAGTCCACTGATCAACGGCCCTTCCTTTTTGAACCAAATCTTGGTACTCGAAACAACGTGGATGTTGGGTGCCTCACAGAGTCCCTCTTCTTTTTAGACAAGTTGAAGTGTCCTTTATTTCTCCCTTCACCGTTCTGAGCAGTCGTTTGTCATTGCACTCTTTTCCAGTAATTATCCATTTTAGCCTATACATGACTTCTGGAACACAGACAAGCGTTAGCTTCTTGTCATTTTGACCTACATATCTTGTTGTTGGTCGCATTGCTCTAGAATCAGAAAATGATTAGTTGCTGTTTATTTAAAATTTGTGATTTTAATGAGCTGCATTTCCTTTGGACTCACAAGATATGGGGAAATATACTGGAAATGAATGTTGGTTATGCTTTTATCTCACAAATTTTCCTTTCAAAATGTTAGGTTCTTGATGCAACCAATGATGAACCATGGGGTCCTCATGGGTCAGCTTTATCAGAAATCTCCCAGGCTACGAAAAAATTGTACTTCTGTCTGCTCCTAGTCAATTCTCTTGTTGTATCTTGCTTCCCTATCTTCTTGTTAACCTCGTCACTTCTTCTTCTTCTTGCTAAAATGTATGTTCTTCTCGAAGTACCGAATGCCAGATGGTCATGAATGTTCTTTGGACGAGGTTGACAGACACTGGACCAAACTGGCGGCATGTGTATAAGGTAAATTTCCCTGGTATTTTTCCTGTTGTTAAAGAAACCATTTTAAAACTTTTTCTTGTGAATTTTTTTTGGTTGCTTTATGTCAGTTTTTTCTCTTCATTCTAATAGCGGAATTTTCATTTCAGGCCTTGTCTGTTATTGAGTACTTGCTCGCCAATGGCTCTGAACGTGCAGTTGATGACATTTTAGAGCACAGCTTTCAAGTCTCTGTATGTTTCTATGTTTGGAAGATCATTTTTGATCTTAAAATGTTTTCGCTGATCAAACTCTTTATTTAACATTTACTATCACTCCTTGCATCCCCTCTATTTGTGAAGTCACTTTCTAGTTTTGAATACGTTGAGCCAAACGGGAAAGATGTCGGGATTAACGTTAGAAAGAAGGTGGAAACTATATTGGGCCTTCTAAATGACAAGGAGAAGTTGCAAGCAATCAGGAATAAAGCTGCTGCAAACCGAGACAAGTGTGTTCTGACCACTTCATGAACTTTCGTTATACCCGATTCATTTTATTCGTTTTCCGCAAAGTTTATCACCACCTAGTGACTATAGTGAAGCTGGTGAATCATTGCTTTCTCTCATGATGGTACCATATGCAGGTATGTTGGATTGTCTTCATCTGGCATCAGTTACAAGTCAAGTTCATCTTCGTATGGTAGCAGCAACTTCCAGCGGAGTGACCAGTATGATGGCCTAGGTGGTGCAAAGGAGGATGAGGTTTTTAGTGCTGGCTACAAAGACAAGGATCGATATGGAGATGAAGCCAATTGGAAAAATGGCCAGAAAGATGATTATGAAAAATTCCAAGAAAAATACTCTGGTGTGGGTGATGGAATAAAATCGAAGGGAATGACCAGGCAGAGCAGGTTGACTCTGTACCATTTTCTTGTCTACCCTCTTTTTTTGATCGTTTGTTTTAATTAGTGTTATGCTGAAAAATTGCTTATTTCTGAGTTCGTATAACCAAAGTCAAAAGTTAGAAGTCCACCTTCCTTGCCGTGTGTTTGCTTAAGCTCTGTAGTCTGTTTCCCCTTGGGATATTGCTGGGTGACTTGGCTTGATTTAGTGCTGACTCACAATGAAACCAACTCCATTGACATGTAAATCGTGAATGACTATGCGTCACTGTGATGTGACCAGCATTGCGGACTTATAATCATATAGATACTGATTTGCTAATGACCAAAACAGATAACATTCTAATAGGCCCTCCTCCTCACCCCCATTCCTGACTCCTCGATAGTCGATCTCCATTCTGCCTCAGGTTTTTGGGGCCCTAGTTTCGTGGAAGGATAAAAAAGGGAAAAAGGAAAAGAAGAAAGTATTGGCAGTCAGATGGGATGGCAAAAGGCTGCGGTGGAAGGATTCTTTTTCTTTCTTTCATTTTAATTACTTTTTTTTATCTTCTTTTTTCCATTATCCCTACAGTTAGGAAAGGCCCCTGAAGCCTGAGTGTTGAACCTGTATCAGTCCAATTCATGAGAGGTGGATTGATATGCTTCAAGTTGACATGGTGTTGAGATGGTCCATTATCATCTTATTAGCTAGAATTTGGTTCTTAATGTCCATCACTTGTGTTAAGTTTCTCAGTCTGCCACAAAGCTGGAATCCTAACCCGAATATTTTGTGCTGCAATTCTGATTAGTTTCACATGATATTCGCTTATTCACTTGTTTCTTTGCTCATATTGACTCTGTTATATCAATATTCATTTGGTGCATCCACTACATACATTTCTAGATATGTGGTTTTGTAGTTATGCTTGCTCGTACCGGACCTAGCTGGAAGAAATTGATCTCAGCCATTCAAAATGCCTTCTGGGTCGTTTACAGAAATCGATCTCAGCTCTCCAACATCTTTGTTGGATCCAGACAACAATTTCATATTCAGCGTTTTTATACCCAGAAAATATATTTGAAAACATTAACTTTAAGCATGCCACTTAAAAGTCTATGAATAACCTGCTCAAGCTGTACCGAGACGACCTGGTCGTAACCTTGGCTGACATGACAATACATATAATAAAGATGACTTCTTGGTAAAATTTTGGATGTTTTGTGTTCATTATTTATCCCATCATTGTAACCTGAGCAGCTGATAGTTGCAACAAGACTGCTAACCAGACGTCCACAAAAAGATGGGCGAACTTTTGTCCTTTTACCAGCTCTTCGTCTATTGTATCAGGATTTTAATCTTTTTTGGTATATCGAATGTTTATTTGATGCTACGATTATGATATTCATATTTTGCCAATCCTGGGTGCGCGAATTTTCTTTTTTCAGGGATTCTTCAAAAAAGCCATCGGCAACGCATGGCATTTCCAAAAGTTCAAGTGCTCAAGTAAACACCGAAGCTGATGATTTTGATGATTTTGACCCTCGAGGATCTTCTATTTCTGGTATGTACATTTACCATCACTTGTAACCAAGGAATGGAAAGATCTGTAGTCAGGGTTTTTCATTCTTTAGTTTATTTCTATGCATTTTCATTACATTCTTTCTATTATATGGCCAGATTATAGATACTGGCTTCATAACTTGCTTATGTTGAGTAAACCATGCAATTCCGTCCGAGAAGATCATGATTATTAACTAAAATAGTACGCCTGATAGCAGATGATTGACTACCTCAGGGTTGAAAATACATAACTGAAACAGGGTGTCCATAAGAGATTCCTGAAAGTCAGAAATAATCAAAGTCTGGGAATCTTGCATAGTCGTAGCGATACAGGATTAATTAAATCTCACAAGGCCATGCGTCACAACTGATGAATCTTCTGACTGTCGTCCACTTGCGTGTTCTGCAGTAGTCCACTTACGTTGCACTCATGTCCTCATTGTGCATCTTTTGATCTAGTTGTTTCCATTTGAAACCATGTGTTGGACCACGAAATTGGTGCATCTGTTTTCAAGGCTTCTACTCTTTATGACATTCCTAGGATCTCCTGGTCATCTAAGATTAAATTTTCTTGCTCTTTCTTTAAAATTATGTGGCATAGACCTATTGTAAAAACGTCTGATCTGATGTATTTTTGTTGATTTTTGTAAAAAAATGGGTGTTTTCACTTACAGAATCAGCTTCCACAAGCTTTAAACAAGTGGATCTTTTTGGAGATAGTTTAATAGGTGACCTGATGGATGCACCAGCAACAGTATCAAGAGAAACGACGTCAAGCACTAGTGCTTCAGATGATGTTGATCTCTTCGCAGATGCAACCTTTGTGTCAGCCACACCTCGTACAGAAGCATCAGCAGTTTTCAAGGAACAGGTCAGCTATTAAATCCTACCTTGTGACATACCATTTTTTCCCTGGCATAGTGTCAACGAGGAAAATCTTTATTTCGTCTTGTCAAATTTATTTTCTCTTTTCCCCTTATCACTGTTGATTAGGCAAGGGACAAGATACACGTGTGAGGTGGGAGATTCAGTGAATGGAAATAATTTAGAGTTCTAGAATCATATTTTTTGGAAAAGTTTGAATCAAAAGAGTATTATTTTTATATCTGAGAAGGGAACTTGAAATTTTCATTTAGTTACACAACAACTACTCTCATCCCTACGTTCCTCCCCATCCCCCTACTCGAAAGAGTTCCCGTACAAACCTTCTATCCATCCCATACAAGGGTAACGTACATATGCTTGTCAGATACTTGTGTCTTCTAGTCGTATCTGCTTCTAGTAAATGTTTGGTTCAAAGGCCAAAACGAAAGCCCAGTCTGTCACCTGCTTCTTTCACCTCAAATGCCCATCTTCAAGTGTTCTCAGGCTGGTCACTTTAGGGGGTATTTTCTGTCCCAAAGAGACGCAAAAGATGATAAACAGCGGGATAGGAATGCCATTTTGGATTATTTTCCTCCAAATCCTCATAATTTTGGGGTGAGGAAGCATACAATCTTCTATATTTTCCTCTTGTACTTCACTTTCAATCCTCTTCTAGTTGCCTCTTCTGTTTTTCATGCACCGTTAGACTCTATGAGCGAAATTATCTTTTCAATTCTTCTCTGTAGTTTATCATTTCATCCATGGAGTCCAATTCGATATAGAAGGAAAAGTCCAGCTTCCTTTCTCGCACAAAATTCTCTCACATTGTGAAAAGAAAATCCATGACAACATCCAAACCGGAATCTTTTTGTTGTTAGCAGATTGACAGGATCGTAGACTTCCTGACCTCCAATGTCAGAAAACTTCACACCTGGTGTAATCCGCGAAATCAGAATTTTTGGCTCGTGACACTTTAGTTGTGATAGAAACATTATGCGTTATGGAGATCAAATGTCGAGCCCTGAACTCTTAGAAGTAGAAGAGATGATATTTATAAATTATGCATCTTTATGTCGAATTTATTGTAACTCATTGTTAGAGACTACTTTGCATGAGTAAAGAACTTTATATATTTACTTTTGTTTCTGATTAGTCCCTCCCATCTGTGTAATTCTCCTTCTGTTACAATTCCGAGCTTCAAATTTTCATTTACTGCGCGAGATAATGCCCCAAATTTTCTGGTCGGATACACACCTATTTTTTCTGATTTTTGGAATAGTGTTTGGATAGAGTTTGCTCTCGCCTCGCCCCTTATCTTCCTCTAGTATTCTCCAAACTGCATCCTCAGAAAAAGTGTTGAAAATTCCTTCTCATCGAATCATCTTCATTCCTATCCTTAATGGTATCATCCAAACATTTATTGCATTTGCAGGAAGGGTTTTTAAGAATAGAATTGATTGAAAATGCCAGTAGATTTCATTCTGAATCGATTGATGCGTGCGCGCATGTGTTTGTGTGTTTTGACATGCTTCATTTTTTGATCTTGACTCATCCTGAAACAGTTCAAAAATGGAATGAGTGATTCAAAATATTCAACTAAAATTTAAAAACCGCTAGAGAGGAAATTGCCAGATTTCATTGCTGCGAATCTTTCTCTATCCACTTTAGGATCTACATATGTTATTATATGACTTCAGCCCTCATTTCTCTCTCTTTGCTGACCTTTTATGCAATATTTCATTTTTCTCGCTGCAGGATCCCATTGATCTATTTGGAAACCAGACCAGGGCTCCTACTTCATCTTCACCAAACGTTGACCTATTTGCTGCAGCAGATTTAGGCGTTCCTGGTGGGAAGGGGACCCCCGTGACAGTGCCACCAGCTTCTAGTTCCGATCCTTTTGCAGCAGTGTCGTTGAACACATTTGAAGGACCTGACATTTTTGGCGACTTCACCTCGCATACTGATTCATCGAATTCTGGGCACAGTACCGCTGGAAACGTTAATCTTGGCCCCAAGAAGGAAGCTTTTCAAGTGAAATCCGGTATATGGGCTGATTCACTGAGTCGTGGCCTTATTGATCTTAATCTGACAGCACGTAAGCATCTTCTTCCTCATTTTCTTTCATGTCTGCACATCACCACCACTTGGGAGTAGTGCATGATCTCGTGGGCAAGAAGAGTAAGCAGGAGGATCTCGAGAGAGGCATCTATCTACTAAGATTGACGACGGGCCTGTAAATCTAAACTACAGAGAAATTCCACGCGTTTGAGAGGATCCCCAGTTCATTGGATGCCCTAATTCATCATCGTCATGATCTTCTCATAATTCCACTTGCTAGGTGCATGCTTGATCTCTCCGAATGTTTTGCCTTTCGCATCTCATTTTGCTTCTGCCGCCCGATTGTGATGCGCAGCCAAGAAGGTGTCTCTGTCAGATGTTGGGGTCGTCGGTGGGCTTTCTGACGGATCTGAGGACAAGGAGAAGAGACCACCTGCGTCGGCTTACGGGGGAGGGAGAGGCCCAGGTGGGGGCTTCCCCAGCATGGGCCAGCAGCATTTCGGAGGCTTCCACTGAATCAACATCATTGGGGTTTCTTTCACGCAAGTTTTTATCTTTTTTTTATCTTTTTTAAAACTTGAATGCTCGGGATCGTCGACATGCGGTGCGTCGTTCATATGGCATACATTTAAATGCCTTGGTATTTTTCTTCGTCATTTGAAGTAAGGACTTCTGCTTGCCGAATAAAACGCGTTCATGGGCTTCTGCATGAAAGTCGGGTATTATTACTGGTAAAGTGGTAGAGGCAGTGACAGGAGAGAGAGAGAGAGAGAGAGAGAGGAAGGTTCTGTGGTTTCTCTCTCTTAGGAGGCGGCGGCGGTAGCGGGGGTGTGGCTGGTGACCTCGTGGGCCTTGTTCTGGACGAAGTGGCCGTACTCCTTGGCGCGCTCCTTTACGTCCCGCGCGGTGCTCATCAGCTTCATGCGCGCGGAGTCGAGCTGGTCGGCGCCCGGTGGGTGCTTCCCGGTCACGTAGTTATAGATCCAGGCGAGTGCGGACATCGCCGCCACGCCGAACCCGCCGGAGAGGAAGAACCCGGCGGTAGCCATGGCGATGACTATCCCCGCCGGCACGAGGATGGGGCTGAACAGCACCAGCGCCGGCGTGGCCAGGACCAGGCAGACCACGGTCCCCGTCATGGTGAGCCCCGACAGCAGCAGCAGGGCCGTGCCGATGCTCGCCGCCGTGAGAAACTTCACCGTCTGCCGGGTCGCTGGGCTTCCCGACTCGGACATCCTTTGCTGGATGTTCCTCTGCTGCTCCGCCATTTCCCTCTCCTGGCTCTCTCTCTCTCTTTCTCTCTTTCTCTTTCCCTTCTGTTCAACCAGCGACGGCGAGGTGGAGAACAGGGGAGTGAAATGGATGGCGGAGGAACTCTTATAGGAGGAGAGAGAGGGGGGGCGTGAGGGTGGGAGACGGGCGACAGCGCATCGGGGTGTCGGAAAGTTGGGAGCTTTGCATGGTTTAGAGAGAGTGCGGAGGAGAACGTGGCCGCCGGAGCCGGGGCCGTCCCTGCTGCCCTTGTCGGAGAGCAGGCGGAGGGCACGAAGCAGGCGAAGTGACGAGGCTTACCTGTTCTGGATGTCCGATCACACGACACGTTGATGTCTGCCCAGCAATTTTGCAGCCATGTCAGGCCCGTTTAGAAGACACCTGTTTGGGAGTGGTCTGGCTCTGAAAGGATATTCATGAGTGAAAAAGAAGAAGATTATCGACGAGGATAATTTTATGACGGTGCGTGCAGCTGCGAAGGTGGGATCTTTGTGGTGACGCAGCAAAGTTCGGTGATCGTTCTATCGCGCGTTCAGATCCTCAAGCGCCGCACTGGGTCCCTTTCATCACACCTTTCAGAGTGATTTTGACCGCATCAGAGCATTATTAGCTCAGATTCAGCTCCACCAAACTTTCTGCCGGTTGTAAGATGTTTCATATGATTATTTCGATCATATTAATGGGATCTAACCCCATTCTCCTTGGGACTCTATTTTGGGCATCTGTTGGAGACAGCCAGTCTAGACTGAACTACGGTTGTCTAGTGATGGTCAGAAAAAGCGTTGACCGTTGATCCATGTCTTTTACTATTTTTTCTGTAGATATTCGATTTGCATTGATCATGGGTTTCTGATTTATTTTCTTTTGGCATAAGAATCAGAATGAGCTTTTTAAAATATTTTTTCATTGATCAATGTTAGATCTACAGATATAATTTGACGAATGCCTCCCCCTTAAATGTGACATCATCGTTATATTAAACTCCATGTCCTCTTCTTATTTATCAACAAATATTCTAATTTTCAATCTGTTTCCGATTGTGATCAATTGAGCTGTGGGTCATTTTCTCTTTCATTCTTTATTGCTCCAGATGAATTTTTTTTAATCCGTCTAATTTCCCATTTCGTTATCTTGTTCCTTTTTCCTCTAATTAAAACTTTCATGCATCACTAATCTCTTCGTAATCTTGTTTTTATTTATTTTGTTTCATTCATTTCCTCGTCTTTTACCCATGCATTTATTTATTTATTTGATCTCATTTTTTTTTTACTTTCTTGGTTTCTTTTCATTTTTTTTCCTTCGCAACTCAAACCCGTTGTGCGTGCCCAGTTCTTCTCTTTCTCTTCTCTAATTTTTTTTTCCGTCATCTTTTCGTTTATTCATTGGTGACCTTTTTCTTTCTTACTCCCGATGTTGTCAAGATTTTCGTTTCCAGCGTTAACTCTACAGTTCATTTGGCCTGTGTCTTGGTTTGCCACCGTGGCTCTCAACGATTGGTTGTGCAGTTTTGTGCTGAAACCACTTTGATGCACTGTTTTCAGGCATGTCATCAAGTGTTCAGGAGCTTCAGCTTCAACGCTTTGACTTATGATTATATTTCGACTGTGCTGCAAGCTGCTGATCTTCTGTTTTTTGCAGGGATTTGATGACTATTCTGGTGTCCAATGCCTGAAGAAGTTTCAGAGTAAGATAATCTCGTGAGCTTGATTGAACACAGCATCCTACGAGGGAGTGAGTACTGACAGAAAAATGAATTTTTTTATTACTTATTTAGATTTTAGAAGGATCTTGCGCAACTTGTGCTGAAACGAGTGAACAATCGTATGCCCAGGTCAAGATTCTATATTAATGCTTTTTGCTCTTTTTATGCTAGATCCGTTTCATCCTCAAACAGTACTACTGATCCTCTTCTGTTTCCACATCAAGCTCCACGGCAGCTCTAGCCAAGATCTTTTATTTTTTTTCTTGAGTGTTGCTCTTGTTCTTGTTCTTGAGTCTGCATGTTCTGTTATGCCTCCATAATCATCAATGCATGGTTGCTTCAGCTTTGGCATGAAAATCATACGCTGGGCACATGCTCTATTCATCATATAGTAGTACATTATTCTAATATCCATGCAGGGTACATGTATGTATATCAGTTATATTTATACGTACTAATGTTTGTGAATGCCTTGTGTGCTTGGATGGAATGGAAATTCCATCGCCAAGAACAACTTGCTGCGCTTGGATTCAACTGATTTGGTGGGATTTTAAATGGGAAGAACTGATTTGAGCCAACTCGGTCGGAACACAGGCGCCCAGAGGTGCTTCTTTGAGATAGAGATCTTCACAACGAGAGGTCTCAATTTGTTGTGGGACTAACCAGAGAGAATGGCATGCTAAATGAAGACCTGATCCCCTTTCATAAGACCTAGGAAACATGAGTTCTCACCACCATAGCCAACCAGATGGGTTATTCCATGGATGGGAATAACTGAGGCAGACGGTTGACCTATGCAAAAGGTCAACTCTCAGCTAAAAAGTTTTCAGTGGAGCTTTTCAGTAGAATCGAGACGGTAGATTTTTGCAGGAAAATAGCACAAAGAAACGCATACACTTGGGGGGAAATGAAGAAGAATGTCTAAACGTGGGAATGCTAGAATGCTGAGTACCTTATTGTTGACCTTCCTGCCGCCTTTTTATTACACCAATCTCAGAAGTCAGCAAGTTCACATCAGCAGGATAAAATAAGTCAAACAAAAAGCCTCATTGCAAGTAATCACATAAGCCTGCTATTCTAGTAGTCATGAGTCCTCCCTTCTCAGATATTGCCATTTTCAGACTGATGCGCTGAGGGCACGAGATTGCCATCTGGGCCAATGGCACTATCCTGCTGCGGGGTGGAAGGTGCTTCCTCCCTCGCTGCTTCCTCAATGTCTTCATGGCTGAGAAAACTCGGTTGATTGGTGGAGGACAGCAGCCTCGCCCACATTCTGTCAGTAATCACCACCTTATTTCTGCTCTCTGTCACCCTCTGTAAATGACAATAATTGTGTCACGAATAATCGCATATTGATCAGTGTAGCAGTAAACATAGAATTGTAAAGATGACAGTTTGAAATTTTATTTAGGTAGTTAAAGAAGAGATATTAATCCAATTATTTACTGTATATTCTAACATCTGGTCGGTTGAGATGCTATTCCTCCTTGGAAGGGGTTTATAGCTGGTGACGTATAAATTGAAGAACAGAACTTCGCTTCATAGATGTTCTTGATGGAAAGGCTGATGCTGAATCAAAGATGTCTCTCTACTATGTCTATCAGTGCCATTGGAATCTAGTTTGGGCGTGTATTGGCGATGACTGGGCAATCAACTGGAAACCAAGGCATAGTTCCGTTTCACTGAACAAGATTTAGGAATATAAATTGTTCAACTATTGGGGGTTTAGGAAGTTTAATTAATTCCAACGTTACTGTAGATGATCAGGAATTGTACAGGACATAACGAAAAGGCAAAGATCAGGTCGCACCTGCCATTCCAATGGGAAATAGACGGACTTGCATATTAAAATTTAATTGTAACAGCTGAGAATATATCGCAGGGCTATGCACAGGTGTTTGATTATCAAATCATGGACGCCAAAATAAGGTGTGCATTTACCAAATGATCACGAAAGGGCTTCCTGGTTTTCTATTCAAAAGAGAAAAAAAGTACCATTTTCTAAGGTTGGTCATAGTGCAATGATTGCTGAGTGAAAGTATAACAGTGGTTCTAATGTAAAGGAATGGGCGAAGACCAACAAACGTGAATGTGATAAATCAGACCCTGGCTTACGTGAGGCATGCATGAAATTCATTAGTACAAATAGAGAGCAATTCATCATTTATACATTATAAAAAAAGTATATATATGAAACTTATGACGACCATCTCTGAAATCAAGATGTTGACTTGGTTATATATACTTTACAATCATTAGATTGTGGTTATTATACACAACAAACGATAATAACTGTTATATCTAAGTTTTCGAAAAATTAGAGTCCTTTTTGAAAAAGGCTCAACAGTACGAAGGCTGAATGCAAGAATCGTGAATTGGTCTTCAGCAATATGCACTGCCTTTTAGGCTGCTTGAAGACTACTAAAAGAGAAGGAAAAAAGAATGTAATCAAACCCTAACTGTTTAACTTGTTCACTAATGAGGAAAATGCTTCATCAAGCATCATTTGAGTCCCGAGAAATCATAAATTGAAATATGCTTCAAGACAGGAAAAAGTGAAGCCTTCACAGGACTTAAAAAGCCAAGATGACATGCAATCATGAGCTTCAACAGGTTTCATGAAATATAATATTAGATCCTGTGCTTACATAGAATGGAATGTAAGTTTGCCTTCCATTTACAAGTCCTGAAGTGAAGCCTGTGTATCCTGCCATTGCACCATGGACGGCACTTTGAGCCAGAAGAGTGCAGTACACGTTGTCAGATGCATTACTTGGAATAGCGCGAATCATATACGTCGGATCTGCATAATATACCGACAATGTCACCCAGATTGCGAATGACCAAGTGAAACAAATAATAAAGAGTTTCAGGGGATCGACCTATGTATTTTAGGTTTATGACCATCTGTGGTTTCTTTGTAAAATGTTCCTACACAACACAAATACAAATGTTTATAATATGAGAAAAACACAGTAACTTTTGCTGAGCAAGGTTCATGAATGCTTAAATTTATATATCTGTAAATGATTTTGTACATAAAATGATCATTACACTGTAATCAACAAAACCTACATTTAGTTTTGGACAGTAAAGTACAAGACCATTCATGTTCATGTGTAATCTGCAGACAGATTAGGATTCAGAAGCTACCTTAATTTTTTGAGACAACCACAACCCCACATCAAGAAGAAGCTTGTTCCCAGAAGGATCCTGCAAGTCCGTGGACCTCATGCTCTCAGCGATGAGCTCCTGTCCAGCACCCTCGGCTACAACAAGAACCATGTGGCCATTTTCCTTGAGCCGCTTCTCAATGAACTCGAAGAGCCCTCCTGCTCCCTCCAGGTAAAAAGGTGACTCGGGAATCAAGCAACAATCCTAAGAGATGCACAGCAAAACAATCTTGTGTATAAGAAAAAAAATGCAATGTATTATTGTAACAGAGTAAACAGTGGAGACACAAGAGGAAAGCTAAGCAGTAAAGCATACCACATCTCGGCTGGCAAGAGTAGCATACATCGCAATAAAGCCTGAGTACACATTAGAGGAAAAGAAAATCAGGTAACTGTGCAATGTATTTAACTCCACGACCTCAAAGCCCAAAACTCTCTCATCATCCAATAGAAATTTGGTAACACGGTCCTCCATTTTCACTAGATTAATGAAATATTGGAGCAAGCCTGAGTATTATTTCAATAAATAGTTTTGTGCAATATCTTCGGATAATATGATAATGTTACAGAATAAGTAACCCATCTCTCATCTTTGAACTCACAGTATTCTCTACTATTCAATGATCAACAAAATAAATCTGAAAAAAAAAACCCACAGTAAACCAATTTCGGTGGCAAAATTCCGGTGGAGATTCTAGAGAATAAAGTTCCGAATTGACTTATGGAATAATGATAAAAAAAGACCGAGTAATCACAGGGGCTCAGACAAAACAACCAACAAGCTTTCAAAATTTATGTCTGGGATTGATGTTTACAGAATCCATGAATTTTTAAGGTGCATGATGCGATACATCTGAGGTGTATGTAAATAGAAGTTTCTGTCCTCCAGATAACTACAAAAGTAACATATAGAAGAAAAAAAAAATCCTCATTCTTTCCAATGTCTACTATATCCCTTTTTTCATTTTCATTTTTGTTTTTATAACTGCAACATAGAAAGAAAAACTGAGTTTTATAAAGAAGCTTGATTCCATTCGGAGCTGTCAGCCTCAATATCTTGCAGTACACACGGAGTTCAATGAAACGAGAAACGGGAGTATTCACAGCCAAGGCCAAAAGAAACATAGTTACTATACATTGGAAATTAGCTGCTACTGCAACAAAAAAAGATACACACCACTATAGCGACCCATTAGCTTCACAACACCAATGCCGTTTTCAGAACTTTCAGCTTCAACATGTGCAGCACCAATGGCCCTTTGTGCCTCTTCAACAGCAGTATCAAAACCAAAGGACTTATCAATGACCTGCAAAGCACATAATCTTAGCATCACAAAACAGTTACAACAAAATGATATGCAAGAGGAGAGGCAGTAGAAGAAGCTCCCACAAATTGGGCATGACAGCAGATCTACGGGACAATTACCACAATGTCATTGTCTATGGTCTTTGGAATCCCAACAACAGCAACCTTTAGGCCACGCCTTCTAACTTCCTGCATGGTACAAAATTCTGTTATGTAATTGATCAAATAAACTACTCGATCATAAAAATTGGACTTAATCGTTCTCTTAATGGAAAATCTCTGCATAAAAAAGTGATGAAGAAAAGAGTGACAACAAACCACACAAAGATGAATATTTAAGTCCTATTACCTCGAAAATGAGAGATGCTCCCATCTGCGTTCCATCTCCCCCAATAATGTAGACCTAAGGACATAACAAGATTTTAACCTCGGTAGTGTATTTAACTAGGCAGAATTTGGTTAGAAGGAAAGTTATAATGGGGACACATATACTTTTCAGTTACCTGGTTAATTTCACGGTCTTGAATATTATCAACAATCTTTTTGGTGTCATGTCCACCTCGTGAAGTGCCAAGGATAGTGCCCCCACGCTTATGGATATCATTGACAGACTTGGGTGTTAAAGGAATTGTATTACGTGCATAGAAACCCCTGTAGCCTCCCTGTGCGTCCCATAATTGTCATCAGCTCTCGCACACAAAATTCCATTTAAATAAGCTCAGAAGATTTGACAGAAATAGATAAGCAGAAGATTGATGTAATAGAGGGTGAAAAGATGATTTGATACTCTGCAAAATGACGCCACCTCTAATGACGAGGAAGACAAGCAAACTGAAGGATAGGCGTTGAAGATGTATCATGAGAATGCCAGGGAGGCGCCGGCATTTGATGAGGCGCTGATTTATTTTAGGGCGGAGGACCAATATCTATGAACATAAAATCTGTGGCTGCGAGCTTCTGGAAGATCAATGGTTGGAAACCAATTGCTGGATCTCGCTCATGGATAAACAACAAATGGGTATCATGCCATTTTTTTTTAATGATAATAAGTCTTTCATGGCTACCATATCAAAAATCTCAATCACATTCCCATGACGAATGCATGTTCAATGGCATTGGGGAGAATGGGAAGATTATACTCATTAGTCATCTCAATTGCATAAGAGACTATCAGCTACGCATTGGGACACCAGAGAAACTGGGCTATCGTGTATGCATGCATAAACCATAAACTATGCCAACTCACCTCTATCCCGAGAATTCTGTGTACACCATACATATGGGATAATCCACAGACTATCTCCCTAATAACCGTATTAAGTCCAGGACAAAGGCCTCCACACGTAACAATGCATGCACGCACTTCATCTGAATCAAAGTACACCTAAGAACAAGGAAAAAGTTAATGACCAGCATTATTGAATTAAGCTGGGATTTTAGCAATGGTTATCTAAATGTAACATACCTTTTGCCGGGGCCCAGCACGTCTGAAATGTGTGCCTCTAGGGCTAGTCTTGTGAACCACAATCTACAGAATAAAAGATAAATCATGAAAAATTATGGCAAACTAGCAAAGTAACAAGATTTGAAAGGACAGCAGGGACTTACCTTCTGAGGAACGCTATCGTCGTAATCAACAAAGTACTGCCTATTCATAAGATAATACTTGTTAATTATCCAGATATACAATATCATTACGAAAATTGCAAAATCGTCAACAGTAATCACATGATTCATGGACTTACTTCACAACCGAATAAGCTGGATTGTTCTGCAATGGGTTCGAGTATGTCTGCCAAAGAAAAAATGGGTAAGAAAACTCAAGCACAAAAAACTCTGTCAACAACAAAATCAGATGAAACTATTTCTTGACTCCACCCAGGATAGTTGTCAAGGCTATAAAAGCTACAGTTTTTTAGTGTATAAATTCGACTTCAAGAACGAGACACAAAGGGGAGACAACGGAAAGTACATAGCCCGATTCTAAACTCTGGTAACCAGAAGGAGCACAGTACATATATTTCTTTTTGTTGCTATCAGGTGCTTCCACAGAGTTTACCATAGCACCAACAAGATCAAAAGCTCCTTGAAGAATCTCGGGGACAATCAGCTCATATCCAAATCGCAGAGTCGGAGCAATCAAGGCAGTCGGACGAAAAAAGGAGAAGAAACAACAGAATACCAGAGGCGTCCTGGCTACAATGAAAAAAGGTCAGATTTTAAAAAAAAAATCGACACTTACCGGAAGGTCCTTAATGTAATCAGAAAGGTGTGGGACGTCTTCGAGCACGTAGCCGTTGTCACCTTGGAGAAGTTTCGCGGGGTATTCCTCTTCGATCTCCATTGCTTTCCTACACTTGATCTCAATTCACAGTTCCCGGGGATGATCTTCCAGACCTGGACAGAAGAATACAGGGAGGAGCTCCGGATATTAAAAAAATCGGTCTCACTCAAACGGCCGGAATATCAGCCCCTCTAAGAAGAAGGGATTTCAATCGAAGAGATCAGAGAGCTTCAGTTCCCGGCGCCGGGGAGGACGAAACGCTAGTCAGAAGGACAAAGTAGGAAGATGGGCCGCATAGACCGTCTCGGAGGAGAAACTACCATACGCAGAGAATCGGACGACGATTAAAAAAAAACCAGCCCAAAGCGAGGACGATGACGATCTCACCCTTATTTCGTTCAGATTCAGGACTTTCAGTAGATTGACGAACCAATCTAAAGAGGGGAAGGCCGGGGGGTTGACAGCATTAACTCCGCCGCGATCCTTCGTCCTCTCTCGATTCGTCGGCGGCGGCGGCGACCATCGGAAGCGGGCCTGGGAGGCGCGGGAGGGCCATTCAGTCACTAGAAAACCACCGGAATCTCGATACAGTTGGCGGAAGTCGGTGACGAGATCCTCTCCGCGCGGTGTCGTCACCGCCGAGTCGTAGTGTAGCACGCGGATAGGGGACAAGTCCCGCCCACTGGGATTATTCAGACTCAGCCTCGCCGTCGTCATTCCGCACGTGCGACAGATCGGGCCGGCCATAACTCCAGGCCCAATAATTTCTCACCAAGGCAAAATCTTCGGCGGGAGTTTATAACTGAAGGTTGCTAATAATTGGATCGACGGTAAATTATTTATTATTATTTCCACTGCAAAGGCCTGATCTATATTAGAAGGGACGTAGAGTTACTGCGAATTCTTCTCGCACCGATTGGCAAGGACGTAGAATAACAATAACAAATGTACAATCATAAGAACAACGAAGCTGAAGAACGCTAATGGGGAGCCACTGGGGAATGGTTGACGCAGACAACTCTTTCAGGATCGCACTCAACAGCGAGGAACCGCCGAAGAATCGATCGCCGGCTTCAAGGACTGGCGCAGGAGCAACCTGCACAACGCAGGCACAGCCCACTGCTATAGCATTTTTGGGTCAACTGGGGGTGGCTGATATCGTTGAGGCGGCGGCAGGTGCCCTGGCACTTTTCTCTTTGGAGGACATAGCTAATACCTTTGCAGCAGCTATTGTTTGGCTCGCCTCCCCTGCAATGGCGTATCCTGTTTTCAGAATTGTCGAGCAGAGACCGGACTTCCTCATTATCGTTGGCGTTGATCACCACTACCTCGAGGAGTAAGAAGAGGAAACAGTAGGTAAGGCGGCGAGGAGACAAGCATCTGAAGGCCATGCCTTTCAACAAGGGAGAATACTCAGACAACTATCGAATTGAAGGGTTGAGTATGGCATGTTGGGCAGGGGGGAATTTATAGTGGCCGGACTCCACAGGGAAGAAGAAGAAGAAGAAGAAGAAGAAGAAGAAGAAGAAGAAGAAGAAGAAGACCACAGGCTCTTCGCATGAATCAGCCAATCTGACCGATTCAGCTGACTAAGACCACAGGCTGATCGAATCACCCGATTTAAGGCGAAAGCGCTTCGAAATGCGGTACCTCATGACAGCGACTCGTGATTTTTTCTACGCGTTGTAAGGACTCTGCCTGAGGTCACTCTATGTAAACTCCAAACGCGTTGACTGCTTCCTGTTGGCCTGATTTCCAATCTTCTTCAACTTCTTATGAATCAACGCAGAAGTAACCAACCGATGGGTGGAAAGACGTCGGCCAAGTTCTCCATTACGTTCTGTTTTCGAGAAGGATAAATCGAGCAACATTCGGCAATCCGTCATAGCAGTTCATACGGTTTCCCACGTACGGAGCCAAAGTTATTTTTCGCGTTTTGGCCTCCGCAGTCATCAGTCCTAGCATATCCGGTGCATTAGGAGATTTAAATATCCCTATGTGTCGATAAGGTCAAGTGCACAATATTCACACGAGCTGAGACTAGAAAGTGCTAGTGAAGCGCAGTAAAAAATGTCTTCTTAGCTCCCATACACATCTCACAAAGCACTTAGAGTAAAACCACACGTTCAATCCATAACTTTAAACTCGTATCTGGGTTAAGCTTTTTATATTCGACACTCATAAGAAGTGGTCTCCCATGATTAGAGATACATATAGATTACATGATCAGATAATCTGCTTTTATGACTTCTAGCAAGATGCTTAGAAGTGTAGAATATAATTGAAGAATCTGCAAGTATCAGCAGACCGTTTGGAAGTGTTTATGTTCCTTTCAACTCTTCTTGAATCCCGAAAACTTCAAGACCACGAGGTTTGATAATTTCATATGATCGGGTGTTTTAGCCTGGTTTAAGAAATAGCGAATTCCAAAAGACCAATTATCAAAACTTTTTCTCCATAGTATAAATTTCACAGAAATCTGGAACTATCCATAACCCTCGATGTTTCTTACGTTTTTTCTCAATTAGGCGTGGATGGAATTTACAAATGATATTACTTGGGAGAATGGGTCTCTATTCAAGTTGCTTAAATTCAATTAGTTTTCTGTAATTTGGGTGGAGTCAACTTTGTTGTTCTCTACGAAGTCGTCTCCTTCACCTTTTGTTATAGAATCGTTGACAGAAACTTAGCGCCGTCCAATATAATTATTTGTGTCGGTCAGCGGTGCTGAGCTGACCCAACGTGTAGCAAAGTCCTGGACTAATTCGGCCGCACCGAGTTTCCGTCGTCAAGAGCGTGTGCTGGTTTTCTCTCCATCGTGAAAAAAGAAAAGAGAGGAACAACTCGAAAGTATTGAAGTCAGACGTTGCATTCATCTGAGCCGTAATCCCACGCAACTTGTGATGGTCCCTATTTCCTCCCCTTCACTCTTAACTGTACACAGACCATCGGAATCGATCCTCTTCCGATACGGGGAAACGTTTTAATTAGGTTCCATTGCATGTGGCGGCACATTGTAATGATGGCCGGAAATTAGATTCCTGCAGTTATAATTTCATCCAGCAATCTTTACTTGTAGTTGGAAATTCAATAAATTTGTTGTTTTTTGTTCGGTTTGGTGGGCCGAGGTGAGTAGTAGCTATTTGACTAAGTATGCAGTTGAATAGTGTGAAGGTGTCATTGGCCATGGTTGTGTTGACTTCAACAAGGCATTCTGCTCTTGGACATGGGAACACGTTGACTTTTAAAAGTTATCGAAAAGCAACATCTTGATATCTTTATTTAGAAAGCATTAGCTTCAATGCTCGTGTTTCATTTCGATAGCTTATGTTACGTCATAAGAAGAAAAGTCTACAATACATTTCGGCTGTGATCAGTGACATAAGCAATAAGGCAACATCCTTGGCATTTAGATATTATTTCGACTTTTGTAAAGATAAGTTGACTTTTGGAAAAAAAACATGAAGACCACTTGATGTGTAGAGAGAGTGAACATCAAGTGGATGAGAGGTACCGCCGCCAGCTAACGTGATGGGAGAGGAGAAGACGAGTTTGGCCCTGAGACCTCATCATAGGGAAAAATGACGATTTCGGAACGTAATTTTGATCTCTGGCATAATTGGGGGCTCTTGGTTATGATCCCCCTCTCTGCTGTCTCCGCAGTCCGCTGCCCATTTTGACGCGCCACCTCGGTCTGATCACCGTAGCTGAAAGAACACAATGATGGAACAAGGAATATTACTGTATTATATTTAAATCGTCAATCGAAGAAGTTCAATCAGATATGTGTGTATGCATTTACTTTTAAAAGTTTGATTGGGTGTCCTGCCGTGGATCTAAGCTAAAATCGCCGATCTAGTTGATTGAAATTGAATTGACATGCCTGACCTGAGAACCTATTCTATCCTACGCACCTGACTTTCAAAACTAACTTATTGACATCAACAGAATCACAAAAACAGCAAACCATGTGGGAAGACATCTAATGGTAGTAAGCTTTTGCTTAAGGAGATGACTTTGGGTTTATCGACACCGGGGTATGGAAAGGTAGCTCATAGACCTGCATTACATCTCGTCACTATTAGATTTCTAGTCGGCGCGTTTTCTGTAGGGGAGTCGCGCTAAGGGGATAGCCAAAGTCAACCCGCATTTTCCGCGTGAAGATCCCTCCCCCCGAGGACCTTGTCTGGTTGTCTTCACGGTCAACCCATCATCCCCAGAGTACCTTGTCCATTAGGAGACTAAATATTCCCAAAGTCAACCCCTCGGATAGTAGGCGAAACAGGTCGATAATCAAGCGTTTGAAGGATTTCGTGACGTGTTGTAATCGATTGCTGCTTCATATCGGACCAGGCTGAAATGGCGAATCCGTAACAAACGCCACTCTGTCGGCCAAAACCGTTGACCAATAGATCTCGAGCACCGAGGCAGCGGTGTGTCGTAGTGGCTGTCAACGTTTGTTTAACATTTGTCCCGTACTCATCAATAGGCCAATGATCACGCAGAGTGATCCCGGTCAACACGCAATAATGAAAGAACTTGACAAAGAATGTCCGTAACAAGACGGTTGCGAACTTACCCTGCCCTTGAGAGACAAAAAGGATCACGGTTTCGGATAATCGACGAAAATTACAACAACACCCCGACGTTGACCAACGACGAGATGCTAGTAGACTCGAAAGAAAGGAATCATCGTCTGCTACCCCGGCTGCCTGCCTCGGGAGATACGCCTGAACCCGCAGATCTATAGCTGTCCGCAGATTCAGGACAATTCGCCGCCGTTAACATGTTCGTACCGCAGTTCACTTCGATCTGTCCGTTGGAAGAGTCACATGGACTGGCGACGAGACTATTGGGGAACAGACGATTAGCAATGATAGAAGGAAACCAACTGACAGAGATTGCCGCCGTACAGGTCCGACGACGTCGACGATACAGCAAACCGATGGGAAAATGGGTGGAGAAGTCGGCGGAGTGAGGGCCGTCACAGGCTTGTGAGATACGCCCCCTCCATGTACGCGCAAACCCGCCGGCAGCTTTGGCACTTGGTACACGTTCCCGCGTCCGCACATCTTCCAATCAGACCGCGTGTGGCGAGTCTGGAGAGCTTAGTACAGGCGCAGGAGCAGCCGCCCTCCATGATGGCGGTATTGATGGCCTTGCAGCAGTTTTTGTTTGCCTCGCCCCCGTGGCAAATGCTTAAGGACCCGCAGCTCGCGCCTAGATGAGGTTCCTCGCTTGCGAGGCTGAAGAGAATGGAGGACGCGTGCAGGAAGAGGAGGACGACGAAGCAGCAGCAGCGGCGGCGGTGGAAAGGAACCCCGGAGGCACCCATTGACGGCCGGAATTATCGCTCTCCCGGAGGGATGGATCGAGCGAGATGGGGCTTTAATGAGCTTCAGCTGCGTTACCCAGCGAGCCTATGGAGTTGAAGAAAAGTCCGTCCTTGTTCTGAAAGACACGACATATTAATTCATCACCATTTGACATTTATCTCGGTCCTGTAAAAATACATTTCTGGTGGGCAGGACGCAAACTAACTTCAAAATAGATGGGGGCCATCAGTACCACAAAATTCACAGGCCAAAGCGTGGTGGTAGTTGTGTTGAAGAGTCGGTGCACGATATATGGACCGAGAATGAATGGGTTAATGACAAGATGACAGAACCGTTGACTTGGAATCAAATAGAAGCCTCACGTCTTCTCCGTTCCATTTCTGCAAAACATCCTTTCAAATTCAACCAAATATTTTACCATGAGTTCAATGCGTCAATCTACTGAGACCGTGAGAAACTCCCACGAATCGCCGTCCTCGATTCAATAATCGCTGGTCGATGGATGGTTTTCTATGAATATGTATTACCGTTGGGAAAATGTCATTGTCTCTTGGTTCTGAAGAGCTTAGCTGTCAGTAGCTGTTAGCTTGTCCCTCAGCAGCCAGCCATTGTTGAATTGGGAGGAATCCGTAGAAGTCCTGGGCCCATTCGTGTAGGAGAAAGAAGGGAGAGTGGAGAAGAAAGCAGGCAGATCCCCAGATCCCGTGATCTCCTAGGGCTCCTCTTCCATCACAGCGCCGGCTGTGATCCGTCCAAAAGTCAAAATCACGTTTGAAGAGACAGAATCCCCATCCAACTGCTTAGCTCTTGAAATCCATGCAGAAAATGTGAGAGCTATCAGTTTGTAACGCTGTAGACGATTGCCCTGAATAATTCCAACCATGTCCTTTCTGTCTTTAACTGACCATAAGACCACAATATGACTCTCTTTCTCTCTCTCTGTGTCTCTCTGTCTGTCTATCTCTCTCTTATTTGTCCAGAATATTTTTCTCACATTATGTTGGATCGCACGTTGTCTGCGTATTTTCATCGAACAAGGTCGAATTGCTCACAGAGGACCGGGTAATGTTGCTTGTCATACAATTGCTATTTTTAATGGTGTCTACGAGTGGCAAGATTATAAGCAGTGACGATGACATGCGACATGATACAATAGAGTAAGAATAGAGAAAGAAAAGCCGATGCAGCAAGCAGCGCATTCCCGATACTCTGCATTGTAGTTCTCATTGCGACTGGGAGGAAGCTCTCACCACAGCGTTTGGAGAATCAATCACAGCCTCGCCTTCTCCAGGCGAGACCCATGTTTACCTCGCGAGCTGTGAGCGCTGCTTGCAGTCACAGCTGCACTTGCCTTTCCTTGTGGCTGTGTTAATGTCCATACAGCAGGCCTGAATTACCGAGGAGCCGCAGCCGGATTACAGAGGAGGTGCCTCGCCGGCGACGTCCAATAAGGACGAGGACGATGCAGGCACGCCCGGTGCGGGGAGACGGACTGAGTCCTCGCGCACGGAATGGAGACCTGCCGACGTCGGCGCTTGCAAGCGTAGGTTCGCACCATTATCGTCAACAAGCGAAATTCCAACTCTAGGATTTATTTTTTAAAAGGACAGGTTAACGTTAAACAAGCGTGGGAGGTGATTTTGTGGGTTTCGGAAAACGTTCTTAATAAGAGCGAGAGAGAGAGAGAGAGAGAGAGAGAGAGAGAGAGAGAGAGAGAGAGAGAGAGAGAGAGAGAGAGAGAGAGAGAGCAGGCATACTTAAATTTACTATGGTTCGAAGTAATCAAGCTCGAAGTAGCGTAACATGGTGATTGGTTGTATCTTGAAAGAAAACTGATTTTGTTCCTAGGGAGGGTTTTCACCCAATCTCTTGTTAATGGGGTGAAAACGACGAATCTTACGGTCTGCAGCCCCGGTTCGTACCACGGCAAGTCCAAGAGGCATCGACCCCCTCCCCATATGCTTAACCCTACTTCCACCAGGCACCTTCGTTGCCGGACTCAACGGTGCTCAAGCAACCAGCCAGGAAGGACTGGCAGAAGGCGCCAGGTGTTGGCTTCGCAAAGCCGGGAACAACCTCAAGTACTTCCGAAATTAGAAAGAAACAAGAAATCGGAAGTAGAATCAAGAATGCCCAATTGAATTCAGGAACCGAAAATGTGCAGCGCGCATTTCATCGAACAATAGTCTCTTATTTATAGAGACCCAATAGGAAGAGGAGAGAGGGTGAGTCTAACGGCCGCTGGATGAGCTGGCACAATGTCTCACGTGGCCACTTATCCGCCGTTATAACTCCTGCTGATGTGCGGCCCAGATTAAGCATGCAAAAGAAAAATAACGACCTGGAGATAGGAAAAAAACCCCAAATCGCTGCAGCCGGAGAGTTTGCCAGACACGGCGATTTCCGGCGGAGCTGGAGCAATTCTTTCACCAGGCGCCCCTCCACCGTCCGGTCTCCCGTTTGTTCGCTGTTCGCATTCTTTCCTCTCTCTTTCCTCCTGAAACCCACTTGACCCATCGTCCTCGTTTCGACTCCCCATTTTCGTCAGTCGCTTTTTCTCTGCTTACATTGGTTTTCTCTTCGGCCAACTCCGGACCCTTGCAGGCAAGGTTGGGATTCTTTGAGCCCTGTAAGCATCATACGGTCCATATTCCATCCCTAAGTAATTTGAGGAACAAATACGATCCGAATGTAGCGTCTGAACGAACGATTGAATCGTCGCCTCTTGAGGTTCTTCATACAGGCGGTGGTCAATAGTTAGAGAGTTCAATACGCTTGGGGCCTGCGTGGCACCCTGTAATACTCGCAATACCTGTTCTCACGTTTGAAGCCTACGCTTGAAAGAGGTTTGGAACATCGCTTAAGACGGTAAGACATTATGAGCGTCCATGAAAGTAGAATATAACACCTCAATCTGTACTTCCTCTGACTTAATTTTCACATTATATACTTCATTTAACATTACTTGTTAAACTCTCTCTCTCTCTCTCTCTCTCTCTCTCTCTCTCTCTCTCTCTCTCTCTGGCTAGGGTTATAAAGCCTGCGCCATCGGGCTCAAGCCTTTCATGGAATAAGAACCATATTCCATCCTTCCAATAGCGAAGCTCGGCGGATGGAATATGGCATAAAACCAGAAGGGCATCTCCGGATGGCGGTCAACCCTGAAATGGGTTGATTATATTGAAGACATATATCGGGTTAACAAATCTGGTCAATTGTTTTTACATCCTTGTTTGATCTATTACTTAATAAAAAATATCCTCAGGTTTTGGTCCCCCAAAACCTCCTAGTGTGAAGTACTTAGGATTCTATCTTGAGCTGCCATTGCAGCTGTATTAAACATTAGATCATCCTCATCATGAACTTTCTGGACTCCACAATTTGTTCGAAGAAACTTGAGCAATGTATTGACAATCATTAGCTTTTATAGACGAAGGTTCCTGTACAATCCACGAGCAAAGACTGTTTATAAAGGAACATTTGAAGTGTCAGTGCGACAGCCAGTACATTGATGCGGTGAAGCCGTTTAGAAGGGAGAAGAGCGGAAGTACTGGTAATAATGTCAATAACAACAAGCTAAGATTTACTTGGGGCTATATAATTGAAACTGAGCTTCATGACGGAGGTCGAGATGATTTATTGGACTATAATTATCCAACGACGATATTGGATAGATAAATATTGAAAACCTCAGCGCCATGAAGGAACCGGAGGAAATGCCTTCGATTCAATCTCCCAACCAAATTCCAACACATACGGTCGATACATGCTTCTCAATAAATGGCAGCCGACAAAATTCCTTGATTGAGCAGATTTTATAAATGTATCCCAATAATTTTAAGGGATGCTTTTCCTGAATGATCGTAAGTTCTTATGATGACGGGCTAATAGGGGACAACCAGGTAAAGCTACCTCGGTCACCCCTATCATGCATCACTGAACCGATCCCGTTCCTGGAAAATGATCACGATGACGAATTTGAGTTGTAAAAGAAACGAAGCTCAAGAGGGCTAATATTGTACACGCGGGAAACAAAATGAACAAAACCATGGTCGGCATCTCAAGAGAAGCCCAGAAATCGCGATAGACTCGATTTCCACCTTCAGTAGGCGAAGCTCCCGTCGACGCCGCTGGAGCAGCTGCAAATTCCGCATCGCAAGCACCAGCTCCTGTTGCAGTCTTGGGTGAGTTTGCTGTGGTTGAAATTCTTGAGCTGCCTACAGACGCAGGCGCAGCCACCGGTGTTGATTGCATCGTTTATGACCTTGCAGCACTCCCCGTTCGCCACCCCTCCCCGGCAAGCCTCTATGCCGGGGCAAGATTTGTGCAGCGAAGGGACTTCATCTGCATCGGCGGCGTAGATCACCTGCACGTTGAGGAGGAAGATGAATAAACAGCAGCGAAAGCAGTGCGGAAACAAGCCACCAAAGGCCATGACTTTCGAGGACAGATGATGTGCAGAAAACTATCGAAGTTAAAGATGAGGACGAAACCGGGTAAGATGGGGAGCGTGTAGTTGCGAACTTTTTAGAGAGAGTGAACATCAAGTGGATGAGAGGTACCCGCCAGCTAACGTGATGGGAGAGGAGAAGACGAGTTTGACCCTGAGACCTCATCATAGGGAAAAATGACAATTTCGGAACGTAATTTGATCTCTGGCATAATTGGGGGCTCTTGGTTATGATCCCCCTCTCTGCTGTCTCCGCAGTCCGCTGCCCATTTTGACGCACCACCTCCGTCTGATCACCGTAGCCGAGAGAACACAATGATGGAGCAAAGAATATTACTGTATTATATTTAAATCGTCAATCGAAGAAGTTCAATCAGATATGTGTGTATGCATTTACTTTTAAAAGTTTGACTGGTTGTGCTGCCGTGGATGTAAGCTAATATCGCCGATCTAATTGATTGAAATTGAATTGAACATGCCTGACCTGAGAACCTATTCTATCTTATGCACCTCACACTGGTTTTGAAAACTAACTTATGGACATCAACAGAAGCACAAAAACAGCAAACCATGTGGGAAGACATCTAATGGTAGTAAGCTTTTTTGTTTTTAATGAGATGACTTTCGGTTTGTCGCCACCGGGATATGGAAAGGTAGCTCGTAAACCTGCATTACGTCTCACCACTCTCACATTCGTAATCAGCGCGTTTGCTCTAGGGGGGTCGCGCTCAGGGGATAGCGAAAGTCAACTTGCGTATTCCGCGCGAGACACGATCAACCATCATGCCCAGCATACCTAGTCCATTAGGAGACTAAATATTCCCATTTGTGGGCATCCTCAAACGACACGCACATGCTCATTTGAGCAAGCAAGCGCGCAACGTAGGCTCTCGTTAAGTTGAAAATGGCTTATTTACGTCGATATCTCGCCAAGCACGTCTGAAACTGTGTTCAATCCATACCTTTCCGAAGTTGCTGTTTTTAAAGAATGTATCATTAGATTATTTTTACGATGTCCAATGAGTTTCTTTGACTTCTCGGAGCCTAACCCTTCAAAATAATATACACGAATGTGTACTTAGGTTATATTAGGGACAATACTTTTTAGGTTCTTACGAAATTAATCTATTATTTACATGTTGTCGAATCCCCGAAAGCTTCAAGACCATGATTATTTTCAAGCCTTTCTTTATTATCCTATGGTTCAGCCTTGTTTAAGAAATAGTCTATTCTAAGACCAATTGTCACAACTTATCCTTGATAAATAAATTTTACCCCTTAACCGTAGTCGCAGGCAACTTATGAAGGTCCCTATCTCTTCACCTTCACTTCAATTATACACGGAAAATCGGAATCCAGCATTTTTCTTATGCTGGTAACGTTTCAATTACGTTCCGGTGCATGGAAATAATGCCTGTAAATCAGATGCTTCTCTGATTTATAATTTCATGCCGCAAGGACTTCGTTTATTTCTTCTCTGTGCAGCTCGGGTAGCGGGCGAAACAAGTTGATGATCAAGCGTTTGAAGTATTTCGTGACGTGTTGTAATCGATTGCTGCTTCATATCGGACCAGGCTGAAATGGCGAATCCGTAACAAACGCCACTCTGTCGGCCAAAACCGTTGACCAATAGATCGCGAGCACCGAGGCAGCGGTGTGTCGTAGTGGCTGTCAACGTTTGTTTAACATTTGTCCCGTACTCATCAATAGGCCAATGATCACGCAGAGTGATCCCGGTCAACACGCAATAATGAAAGAACTTGACAAAGAATGTCCGTAACAAGACGGTTGCGAACTTACCCTGCCCTTGAGAGACAAAAAGGATCACGGCTTCGGATAATCGACGAAAATTACAACAACACCCCGACGTTGACCAACGACGAGATGCTAGTAGACTCGAAAGAAAGGAATCATCGTCTGCTACCCCGGCTGCCTGCCTCGGGAGATACGCCTGAACCCGCAGATCTATAGCTGTCCGCAGATTCAGGACAATTCGCCGCCGTTAACATGTTCGTGCCGCAGTTCACTTCGATCTGTCCGTTGGAAGAGTCACATGGACTGGCGACGAGACTATTGGGGAACAGACGATTAGCAATGATAGAAGGAAACCAACTGACAGAGATTGCCGCCGTACAGGTCTGACGACGTCGACGATACAGCAAACCGATGGGAAAATGGGTGGAGAAGTCGGCGGAGTGAGGGCCGTCACAGGCTTGTGAGATACGCCCCCTCCATGTACGCGCAAACCGACCGGCAGCTTTGGCACTTGGTACACGTTCCCGCGTCCGCACATCTTCCAATCAGACCGTGTGTGGCGAGTCTGGAGAGCTTAGTACAGGCGCAGGAGCAGCCGCCCTCCATGATGGCGGTATTGATGGCCTTGCAGCAGTTTGTGTTTGCCTCGCCCCCGTGGCAAATGCTTAAGGACCCGCAGCTCGCGCCTAGATGAGGTTCCTCGCTTGCGAGGCTGAAGAGAATGGAGGACGCGTGCAGGAAGAGGAGGACGACGAAGCAGCAGCGGCGGCGGTGGAAAGGAACCCCGGAGGCACCCATTGACGGCCGGAATTATCGCTCTCCCGGAGGGATGGATCGAGCGAGATGGGGCTTTAATGAGCTTCAGCTGCGTTACCCAGCGAGCCTATGGAGTTGAAGAAAAGTCCGTCCTTGTTCTGAAAGACACGACATATTAATTCATCACCATTTGACATTTATCTCGGTCCTGTTCTAGGTTACAAGTTTCTATCACTTCCTACCGCAGGAAAAGAAGAAACTGCGACAAATAAAGAGAACCATCAGTGATGTACGACAAAAATTCACAGGTCAAAGCGTGGTGGTAGTTGTGTCAGAGCATGAGATATGGACCGAGTCTTAACGAATTAATGACAAGATGACAGAACCGTTGACTGGAATTAATAGTAGAAGCCTCACGTCGTCTCCGTTCCATTTCTGGGAATCATCCTTTTAAGTTGCACCAAATATTTCGCCATGCGTTCTGCGAGGCAATCAACTAGGACCGTGAGAAACTCAGACGAATCCCCGTGCTCGAGTCAATAATTGCTGGTCAATGGATGGTTCGGTATGAATAAATACAAATGTTGTCCAGCTGTCATCATCTCTCGTTTCTGATCAGCAGCTGTCAGCCTGCCAACGTTGAACTGGGAGGAATCCGTAGAAGTCGTGGACCAATTCGTATAGGAGGAAGAAGAGAGAACTTGCAGGCAGATACATTTGATCGCTTAGAGCCCCTCTTCCATCACAGCGTCGGCTGTGATCCTTCCCACAGGCAAACCACGTCCGTAGAGACAGAATCCCCATCCTACGCTGGTCAACTCTTGAAATCCATGCAGAAAATGGTGAACTATCAGTTTGTCATCAGTGGTAGAAAATGTCGTCCTACATCCGATCTCCGCTGTGCCGTAGACGATTTCCCTGAAGAAGTCCAACCATGTCTTTTCTGCCTTTGATTGACATAAGACAGCATCATGATAATCTCTCTCTCTCTCTCTCTCTCTTGTCCAGAATATTTTTCTCACATTATGTTGGATCGCACGTTGTCTGCGTATTTTCATCGAACAAGGTCGAATTGCTCACAGAGGACCGGGTAATGTTGCATGTCATACAATTGCTATTATTGATGCTGTCTACAAGTGGCAAGATTACTAGCAGTGACGAAGACAAGCGACATGATACATTAGAGTAAGAATAGAGAAAGAAAAGCCGATGCAGCAAGCAACGCATTCCCGATACTCTGCATCGTAGGCAGATGGCCTCGCCTTCTCCGGGGGAGACCCATGTTTACTTCGAGGAGCTGCAGCCGGATTAGCTGTAGCCATACTCTGCAACCGGATTATTTTCATGTTTACATGTAAACACCCATGCCTCTCCGAGGAGCTGCAGCCGGATTACAGAGGAGGTGCCTCGCCGGCGACGTCCAATAAGGACGAGGACGATGCAGGCACGCCCGGTGCGGGGAGACGGACTGAGTCCTCGCGCACGGAATGGAGACCTGCCGACGTCGGCGCTTGCAAGCTTAGGTTCGCACCATTATCGTCAACAAGCGAAATTCCAACTCTAGGATTTATTTTTTAAAAGGACACGTTAACGTTAAACAAGCGTGGGAGGTGATATTGTGGGTTTCGGAAAACGTTCTTAATAAGAGCGAGAGAGCGAGAGAGAGAGAGAGAGAGAGAGAGAGAGAGAGAGAGAGAGAGAGAGAGAGAGAGGGAGAGATAGAGAAAGAGAGAGAGAAATGAAGCTTCCTGATAATACAAGGCGGATCAGATTCAGAGTATAAAGGAGCGGGTGGCTGCTTTGACTGCGGAAAAATGGGATGAGAAAAATACGGCAGTTGATAGTCTGTTTACATTGTGACAGATTCTAAAGCACAGAAATGGGTGTTTACATGGGTCTCCAATTAAGGACAGTTAATGTTTCATTTTAATTCAATGAAATAATTAGAGCTGAACACTAGGAAAAATGAAAATATGTATATTTATCCAAGAAAATGTGGAGTCAAACAATAAAACGATCCAAGAAGAAAGCGAACGTTCCAGATGGAATAGCTTAAAATCTCAAGAATTCACTCATCCAACAACGATCCAAAATTCCTAAATACACTGATTTATCACATATTATTATTGATATATAGACATATATACGCATAATCCTTTCAACAGATGTATAATAAATTACAAAAAATAAACGAAAGAAGAAAACCATCGATCCATATCAGCTATCGATCCATAATGCATACTAATTATTAGGAATGTGACACACGAGGGCCACTAGTCATCATCAATCCAACATTTTTCTACTCTTGACATCCAAAACAACACAGTTATTCCCAACCCTAGCGGCATCAAGCCATGCCATAGCTTTGCTTATGCTACCCAATTCCAAATCACTAGAAGGGGTACTGAGTAGCTTTCTTAGTCAACAGGCAGCCAAGATAAGCACATGTTGGATAGACAATTCCTATTGTTTGATAACTACAGAGCAATGTGAAATAATCAAAGTATCATATACTATAGACGTTGAAACCCACAAAAAACAAGTCAAATATTTTTTATCCATATTGCTCAGCAGAACCTTATAATTGGGTAATCCTAGAAAATAAGAGTATGCAATGAGGCAACAGGCAATGGATTGGTACCCCCCTAAAAATTATAGTTCACTCCAGTTACATCAAGCGACCTAGAACAACCACATCCTGTCACAAACTTGTAGATCGGTATCTCAGAATCATGATCGTCCCCGAGGCAACTCTATTGGAATAAGATAAGGCAGAACGCAGAGATTTCATGGAAATTCCTTCGACAGAGCCATCTGGAGAAATATTACTTACTTTTCACTACTGACAACAGCAGAAAGAGTGATAGTTTGATCTCGCTATGTGCCATCGCCAACAACAAGGAAACTCATATTGTTGGTACCCCAATTTAGTATCTGAAAATTTCTTTCGTAAAGATGTTAACCCCAACAAAGACCCTGTAGCAGAGTATCCACTAAATTATTGAGAGGAAAAATTCAATGACCCAATGATTTACATCTAGAAATAAAATACAATTTATTATGGTGTTTCATCAGGGAGAAAGCAAAGAAAAACCTTCAGGACTCAAATAAGATGATTCTATGACTAAATAAGAAATAAACCATACAGCTCAGAACAAGAAATAAAATGGGATTACGCTGGCTAATATCAAACGCTTTCAGCAAAGAATGGTGTATATAGATTATCATTCAAAAACGAATATATTGCAAAAAACATTATAGCATAATGGTTTCAAGAATGTATTGACGAGCAAGACAGCACCATCCTGTTACAACTCCCAACTCATGAATGACTTCTTGTGAGAGGATTGAGGCCAAGTAAGAAGAAACTCAAAGCTAATCATAAGAATAGATCCCGGTCCTCAACACGCCCGAGGCAAATATAAGTGGACGAATCCGTATGGTGGGGGTTGGAAGACCGCCACCATGCAGAGAATAAGCGATTATAAAACATAGGACAGTCAAATGTTATGGACTGTGTCTATGTTATGTATGCCGTGCCTAAGGGCATATCGGTTGAAGTAAATTCTTCTTTTTTATCAAAAAAAAACCCTTCCCAAACTGTACAAGCTTCCATGGCATGTAAATGGATTATGTTCTGAAAGGAGCCCACGCTCAGTGTTACCTGCTACGTTCCTAGCTAAACTAAGCCATCTTAATGCTCGGATATGAAATACAGGAATCTTGCAACCATATTTGTGCAACTGAGCTAGCAAGAATATGAAAAACCCAGCTAACTGTATAAGAAACTCTTACTCAATTTCACTGGTATCCACAAACTATCCAGGAAAACAAATGCCTCTTAAACAAAAAAATCATGGGCCAGAAAAAACCAACATTTATCTTTTCAGATCAAAACGATAATCTTCAGAAGGTAGAACACTTACCAAGAAAGATGATGAGGGAAAAGAAAGAGTAGCCAAATAAATCAGTCTTCTGATGATGCCGAGCAAAATATACCCTTTTATGATCCTTTCAACGAATCAGGCATGCTGCCATTGGCTCCTTTCATCAGGCTGGCTCAAAAGCCTCTCAATAAGATACCCATGTAACTTAACAAGAACTAGCAAATCAGAAAAAGACAACTCATCAACCACATCAGTTTCCTCGTCCACTCAAGTCACTGGAGAAAGCCATAGTCAATCATTTCAATAATTACTTCAGGGGACTTACAACCCAACCACTTATAGGACTCTCTTTGCGCACTCGCACTGCACGGTGGCATCCACTTTGGAGCCGTTCAATGATTGCATACGTTACAGCATCAGGAGTCAGATTGTGCTGTTTCATAGTCGCAAATATATTGAATGCTTCCGCTGTTTTTCCACATTTCTCAAGGCAATCAAGTAAAATATTGTACGTCACAATGTTGGGGGCGCAACCCTCCAAAACCATCTCATCAAACAATTTACAAGCCATCTCTATGCTATTTGACTTACCAAAGCATTTAATAAGAATGCTATATGTGAACACATCGGGGGTCAGTCCCCTCTCTTTCATTTCCTTGAAGCGCATATGAGCTTCATCAAGGTCACCATTTTTGCCAAGGGTATTTATTAAAGAATTGTATGTAACGACATCTGGTTTACACTCATTAAGCTCCATTTCTTCAAAGAGCTGCAGAGCCCTATCAACTTGCCCTGCCTTACCAGTACTGGAAATGAGAATATTGTACGTAAAAACATCAGGTGATAGACCATCATTTTTCATTTTCTCAAAAAGAGCATTAACATTGGATATTTGATTCATCTTACTGAGAGCTGAGAGAACCAAGTTATACATAATATTATCAGCAGTAAGCCCTTTTTCATGAATTTTAGTGAGCAAATCCATAGCTTCCAGAGTCTTCCCCGCATTGCATAACGTCTCTAACATGGATAGACAGGCTTCCCTATCTGCCCTGTCATGTGAGTTCCACATTTCACAAAATAGGCGATGTGCCTCACTCGCATGTCCAAGTTTACTCAATGTCTTTACTAGATATGCATGGATGGACTTACTAATGAATTTTCTAGATATCTCTACAATCTCGTGTATCCGACTGATTTTCCCTTCTCCTGCTAGGCCATCTAAAATAACACTGTATGTAAATTCATTGGGACGGCAATCATTCTCAATCATCTTAGAGAAAATAAAGAAGATCTTATCAACCATATGATTCTTCGCCAATGCCTGAATCATGGTGTTGTATGCAATCAAGTTTGGAGTACAACCTTTGGAAATCATATCATGGAAGTATAGAAGAAACTCATCTGTTTTCCCTCTTTTTCCTGCCATCCTTATAAGAATAGTATATGTGTACACATCTGATTCACAGTGTTTATGTTTCATGTCTGCAAAGACCTTGTGGACCTGCTCAACCTGTTTACCAAATCTCAGTCCGATACATAACGAAGGATAATACAGAACTAAGAAGCACGTCAGGAAAATATAGAAACATAAAACAGATTCCTCAACTTTTTTTATTTTTCGATAAAATTTTGAACATGAGCGTCAATTTAAAGATGAGGTACGTGATTCTCCCAGTTATTAAAATTGATGGATTATCCCGAATATGAACATACTATAAGAGGTTAGAACAAGATATAAGATGTCTAGATTCCATTCATATTTGTTGCTCGATTCAAACACAGAGGGACTGCCATAAGGGGGGGCGGGTGAATCCAATTGTTCTCGGCACGAGACTTACAAGGAAATTATAAAGGGGTCAATGTATGTACTGATCTGCTAATCGGTTGAGATTTATGCTCTGATGATGTAACTTCTTTTTTTTTTTCCATTCGTCATCCTTTTGTTTTTGGCTTAGATGAACAATAGACTAAGACCATCCTCCAAAAAACATCAAAGACCTAGCACAGATATGCCTATCCATCAATAACAGGTACTTATAACTGTGTATTCAAGCTGAGACATTAGTTCCATGGCAAAAAAATTACGAGTCTATCAAAAAAACAAGACCATGATATGCCATTTTAAGAAAATGATGAGGTTCACAGATTCCTGGTGAGATATCTTGGAAATCAAATAACAGACTATGGCTGGATCGCAAAACCCAATAAAAAGCAATTCAAGAAAACATATCTTTAACAAGAAACCTACCTTATCAGCTTTGGCAAGAGCATCCAGTAGCATATTGTAACCAAAAATATCCAACTTATAACCCTTTCGTCTCATCTCTTCATAGACTTTGAATGCGTTCTCCACGTCATGGGACCTAAGATATGCTTGAAGAAGGCACTTGTATGTATACCCATTAAACCTTAGAGACCACATCTTCAATAGCTCAAAGCACCTTCCCAAATCCCCGCCCCCAAATATCGAAATCAAGATATTAATCGTTGAAATGTTCCCCCGCACACCTTCCTTCTCCATTTCGTCCAGTAACCGGCGGACAAGACCCACGTCGACCCCGAACTTCGAGATGATGGAGAAAATTCGGTTGTAGGTAAAGCAGTCATGACGGTAACCCGGTAGGGAAGTGCAGAAGTGAAAGAACTCTATCGCAACCTCCGGGTTGCGGAGGGCTTTGAGAACCTCACTCACCTCAGAGGGAGTAAGTGTTAGGGTTAGAGTCTGAAGGTAGTCGGATAGTGCGAGGAACGGGTCGGACTTGGCGGTGGAGGGCGACTGAAGAATCCTGGAGACACGACACACCAGGTCGCGTCGCGGCAGGGCGTAGCCACGAGTGTCACGTACGAGGTCCGGAGGGTCGATCTCCACCGCAATGGCACGGCCGGTTGAGTCCTCTCGGACGATCCGACCACAGTAGCTCGTGGCGAACGATCGAACGACAGCAATGGAGGAGAGAGATAACCGAGCGGAGAGGAATAGCTGCCTGCAGGGAAGCCTCATAGTCCTGCTGGTCGCATTTCCTCCACCAGGCTCTCGCGAAGAGAGAGAAGTTAAAAGAAGAGGCGATTTTAAGAAACTTGAAAACGGAAGAAGGATGCAACGTACCACCAGTGGAACAACCAAAGGTCGCCCTGGATCCCAATTGGACGGATAGGATCCCCTCCGCAACTTATCATGAACGGTAGATGATGAAGCACCATTGCAAAGTTCGTGGGGGCTCGCTGCCTAACGTGTACCGTCGTTCCACGGTAAGAAGTGTTTTTCCGTGAGATGCTCCTTTTTCATAGAATAGAAGGCCGTTACGGACGCCTCCGTACCCATTCCATTTCCTGGCTCTCAGTTTGTCTCTTCTCTGCCCTTCGCATATGCGTGTAGTTTCCTGTCGTGCAAGAGAGACGGCCGAAGAGTCTTATAGGGTCTTTCCAGGGAGAGTGCGCAGGAGAAATTGATCTGATGGGGCTTTGGTTATCCGAGTACTTGCCTTCGTGTTTGTCGTCGCCATCAGATGAGAATTATGGAGGAACTGCCGTCATATTGAACGTGTATGATCTCACCACCTGGAACGACTACACTCATTGGTGTGGGTTTGGGATCTTCCATTCCGGAATTGAAGGTAAGTCAAATGCGCTATATTGCGTTCTTCTCGTTGTGTTTCCCATTTTCTGGTTGAAATTTCTTCCTGGGTCTTGGTTTCTCAGTATGATGGAATTAACGCAGAACATTGGTGTTTCGTGTTTGGATTTCTGAGTTTTATAATTTTCTCCTGTACTCTTATTGATTTTTTTTGAATAATTATGATGATTCAAAGAAGATTTCTTTTGATTTTACATGTTTTATTAAAAAATCTTGAAAATGTCTTTCATGTACCGAAACAGAATAAAAATTAGTGTTTCTGCCATCAAGCAGAAAATGATCTTCTTGGTAAATTTAGGATTACTAGTCGGCAAGTAAAATAGTTGATTCCAGATATCCTCTCTGGTTAGGAGGACGACAATCTGCCTTGGTTCAAGGATATGTTAACATAATACGCTTAAAATTATCCACTGTAGTATCGCATTTCTGAGTCTACTTTTTAGGAACAGGGACATGGCATTACTCCATTAAAAGTTGAAAGTAACAATTGGTATCTTCTTCCTCGGAATATTAGGGGGCCTGCTGATTACTATAGAAGAACAAAAACATTCTCCGCTTATGATCACCACATCACAAAAGGCACCGTTGGTCAAGGGAAACTATACGGAAAGAATATGGATTCCTTCTTTATGTATGAATATTATTTTGTTTCTTTCCAGGAATTTTTTTCTGATCGTTTGTAAATGTTTTCCTGACCTTTATAGTTTTCTCTGTAATTGCATGATTCGAATGTAGACCATTTAGCCTTTCAACAGATTTCAGTAAATTTGGCATAGTCCTCCCCTGCCCTAAATTACATTGATAAAGAGCTTGAATCTGGATCAACCCATGATGTTGATCGTAAAACTTTGCAGAAAGTTGCATCACGGATTTGTCTAGGTGACGTCGCATTAACAGAACAAAATATGTGTTTGAGCCACCGAAACGAATTGATGTCTATTTTTGTCTCGTCAAGCTTAATGAGTATCAGAAATCCGGATGATTATTAAGGAAAACATTTGATTACAAATCGGAATACCGCAAAGTAGACACCTAGAAATGGGTCCTTCGTTGGAAATAACATGAGGGCTTGACAGATTTTAGCCAAACTAGTTATCTAGAATTCATCTTCCGTCTGAGATTTTAGTATTTCAGTTTGGGCTCCATTAACTTGGGCGAAGTAGTGGGCCTATAAGGGTTAGTTGCGAGGGGTGTCAATGACGATTCATTGAATCGCTATCAAACTGGGAAAGCTCAAGTATTTGTAAATTTTTGGCAGTGATGTTTACTTGTATTAAGATGGTGAACGTTCTTTTATAATTGGTTTTATATATTCCCTTCAATCCACCCCTTTGACCTTAAATACATAGTAGTGCACAGAAAAAAAAGCATATTTACTGCTTGCTTTCTGAATAAGAGGAGTGATGCCATTTGAATTTTATAATTAGTGTTTGAAAATATGGTTCCCAGTAATTTAACTGGAAAGCAGCTTTGGATCTGGATTTAGAAAGCGTCTTCATGGTTTTTCTTTTTTCCAGTCGAATGGAAGACTATCGATATTTAAAATTTCCTAATACCCATTTTAGGTGCACATGCTGATAAAAAATAAAACTTGAAGAAGCTAGAAAAGCGTCCCTGTAAGTCAGTTGTGCCCAAGACGTCAGGTTGCCTATGGGTTGGTTTCAAATCGTAATGAGAATCTCAGTGAGACAAAAAACTTTAAACATGTCCTTATTCCTTGTATGCAACCGAACTAGGAGAGAAGTTACTCTTTTACTTGGAAAGTGATTTAAAAGTATGTTAGTGAGTGGTAAAAGAAAAAAAAATTAGTTCCTAGTGCAATTTTAAGAAACAATTGAGAAGCGTCTGCAATGGAAGGTTTTAGTTTAATGTATCTTCATGGCCTTTCTTCCTTATTTTGGTCTCTATCACAGCGTTTGGAATGGCATAAGAAATTTATCCCAAATTTCTTCTTTTTCATTTCTCAAATCGCCAATTCTTTTAAGTTGAGGCATCCATATGCCTTCTTACTTTATGGAAGCCTTCTACTGTACAGTAGGCTAAAACTGATACCCAATGAAGATTTATTTAGTGTCCTTCATCTATTAGAAGCTTCTTCCCTATGGCAAAAGTTGACTTTTTAATATTTATTCGTGTTCTAATCATGGTTTGGTGGCCCGATACTCCAATATTTACCTCGTAAATTCTATTGCTTTTTGGTGGAAATCTATTTATCGCTGTAGTCTCTTTTAGTTCCTTCTAAAACTGAGTACATTTTTCTACTCGTACTGCAAAAGTCGTAAGACTTCACGCATACCATTGGGATCCAGGGGAGGTGGATTATTCAGCATAAAATCACTGTTTAGAATGGTGAATTTTCAAAAATAATTTTTATTGGAAACCGCTGAATCGATCAGTTATCCCCTACATGACATGTCTTTTTGAAGCTCTTCTGAATCTGCAAACACTTTCAGCTTAATTCTGGAAGGGTTACCTTGACAGTAAATTATTTACTGATGAGAGATAGTTTCACATTTATGGTTACTGTGTGCCGTATCTGTGGCGACAACGATAAAGATTTTGACGTCACCGAGACGATTGGGGCAACCTCCAATGAAAGTAAAATCTTTTATCCATGATTTAAATTTGCTTGTGGAGAATAACAGCCAAGTGCATTGATTAGAAATGTGGTTGAAATGCTCTTGATATTGCATACAGGCGCAGAGTGGACGTACTATCTGGGTAGACATGATACATGCATCTGCTGTATGGTGCAATGCTAGTTGCAATACCAGCATTTCATTGTGTTGTCTTAAACATTTCATTGTCTTGTCTCATTCACTCATGAAACTGGACGTGCACTCATCAGATCACTAGCATGAATTTTGACAAAAACATGGGGGTCTAAGTCACGTGACTATTGATCTTCACGCTGTTAGCATGTCGCCAACTTGGCAATATGCATGTGCACGTGTATATCACAGCTATAAGAGGCAGATGTCATGTTACCTAACTAAAACTTTTTCTTCTTTCTTATGCATTAGCAGCTCATGGTCTGGAATATGCATTTGGTGCTCATGATCTGCCTGCTAGTGGAGTTTTTGAGGTGGAACCAAGGAATTGTCCTGGCTTTACGTACAGATGCTCCATATTGTTAGGATATACCAACATGCATCTTCCTGAATTTCAAGAATTCATTGGAAATATGGGTTCAGACTATTATGGTGACACATACAGCCTGATTTCAAAAAATTGCAACCATTTTACACAAGATGTATGTATGAGACTGACCGGGAAACAGATCCCAGGATGGGTAAACCGACTTGCTCAACTAGGTAACTTACACTTCCACAGTTTTTCCTGCGCTTTTTTGCCTGTTTTAAGATGTTGGTGTTTTCTGTAAGTTAAGGCTCTAGAGGAACAATTTATGTTGTCTATTGTTGCTTCCATTTTTCTTGTGATCCTTCATCTAAGGTGCATTTCTTCATGGGGATTTATTTTCATTTTTTATTTATTTATATTTTTCTCATGATGTGAGATGTTCCCGTCACCTTTTGTTTACCAAGTTAGATTCTATTTTTTTAACTCATATTAAACACAAAGAATATCCCAATTCTTGGAATTTTCTATTATGTAAGTGTGTGGAAAAAAGTAGTGGTTTTTTTACTTTATAAGTTGAAGTATGATCAAAGTATCTTCTAACGTGAATTAAGAGGATGTTTATATTGCAGAAGAGTATCACAACCAAGGAAATTACCAGTTTGGATGCTGTCAAATTACACAGTAAGGGGAAAATGTGCCCACATGAGAAATTATGCCACATGAGTGTTTACTCCTGAAATAATGATGAAACATCACGTGTTTTCTTTAGCCCTTAGACTGGTGTTTTGTTTGATGTAATATCTACGCCTCTTAGATATCTATCCAGCAGTGGCCCAGTTCGGCAGAATTTCTGTCAAATTGTGCTGTTAAGTTCTTGGGAAAGTTCATAATTAGGCTCTATCAACTTCTGCAAGTTTCCAATGTGATCAAAGTGCAATTTGATTAAAAAACCAACCCAATTTTTCCGATATATTTAATATCGGCTGCTGATACCGTTTCAATATTGCAACGAGAAACAGTCACAAATGCACGTAGGTTCTGTAACCAGTCACGTTAAAATTGAAAAATAGTTAACTCTACTGTGTGATGTGCAGGTGCGATGTGCAGTTGTTTGCTCCCTGAAAGCTACCAAATTCCTGTTGGTAAGCAGATTTCCGAATATTACATCTATTCAGGTTAGCGGCGGAATTTCTCCATAATTTGATGTCTTTTCCTCGAACAGCTCCATCAAAGTAAACTCAAGCTGCATGCCAATAGATCTTTATTTAAAATGTTTCTTACCCTGAATCGTCCGCAGAAGACGAATCTGGATCTCTTTCAACTATCACCGCACGTGAGCCTTCAGAGAGCGACGATGCGGAGGAAGATGATGCACACCTGCTCTCACCACCTTCTGGGGGACGACGAGGATCCGTTCAAATGAGATTTCCGCTGGTAACGTCCCCAATGCCTTGACTAAACAGCTGTAGTCTTCTTTTCCCCCATCTTGTTGAAACCTGCCACTCTCATTCTGTGCTCAACCTTCTCCCTTCTTCTACTCTGTATTTAGTATCCGTGAGAAAAGGCCTGTACAGAGGAAAAGTATTCATTGAATTTAATGTGAATTCCACGCTCCACCTATTTGGCGCGCACATTGCTCCAAGGTACTCGAACCAGAGACTGGCCGGCCGGCCGGCGCGTAAACGCCGTAGAAAGTATCTGGGACGGTGTTTAGAGAGGCCCATTTGCGGGCGGTCTCGGCACGGCGTCACCTTAACCTGAAGTCGAAGAACGGCGAGCTCGGTTAGCTTTCCCATCCACTGGAACGGCGAACCCACGGCGGCTCAACGGCGACTGCTCGCCGCCCGCGAGGCGATGGGACGTCGTTCTCTGTTCGTTTCCGCTCGGCCGTAGAGGCCCCCCCCCGGCGCGCATGGCACGGCGCCACCATACGCGCCAGCACGCGATCGCCGTACGATTCCTTCGAGGACTGGGGAAGAAACCTCCGATCGTAGAGCTTCCGCCGACGCAGTGATCCGCCGAATCTGAGGAAGTCGCCTGTCCGAGACGTCAACATTCGACGACCGTGACGACCGACGCCCTCCGTCGTCTGCCGCTTGGCACGGTAGGCGAAGCGGAAGGAAGCCTGCGGTCACGGCAAAGGCGGTGGACCTCTGCCCATGACCATTGATCAGGTTCCAAGTACAAGCCTTTGCAATTAAGCATGGATAAGTCACTGCAGCTACGGATCGGTGTGAACCCACCGCGCCTGATTTGGCTGTACATTAGTTTGTTCGGCATGGTACCACACTTCGAATGATAAATGAGGTTAGAGCAATGAGCGTATGTTGAAAAAAATTCGTTTTTCTGCATTGGGCAACATCCAATATCATCTTCAAATGATGCATAAATACGAATATAGCAGATCTATGCTAAATAAGTGAAGAAATTGGTTGGACATTTTTGTAAGTCGTGCATTCATTGTGTACTCAAACCAATTAAGTGAAGAAGCCGTGAGGTTCAGCACCGGTTCCCCGCACTCTAAAGAAACGCATGGCGTGCACTCAATTGGTATATCACCCTTCCCATCTCCAAGATGGTACAGAGGATTTCAGTGGGGGCGATTTCCCCGGGTTTGGTGTCACGGCCCCCCCCGAGCGCGTCTGCGAGTAGAAGACGTCACCCGTCGGCGGAACCCATCGCCACACACGCAGCTAACTCCGCGCGGACGGCTTTCCGGGCAAAAGCATCGAGAAATCGGTGAGAAAGGAAGATGGGAGGGCTGAATATCGGGGTCTTGCGACAGGTGGGTAGTATGAGCTTCGTGAACGGAGGGAGTGTACGAGAAGGAATCGTCGGCCTTGCCTCATCCACCACTCCTCTATCTGTCTCTTGACCCACCCGGCCTTCCGCACCGTCCGATGGCGTTTCTCTCTGGCAGTTCTACCCAGCTCATCAGTGAAGTCCTAACTAATCCACCCCTCTAACCCTCGTCCTCCTCATGTTCATTCCCTCGTGAATCTCCCGTCTTCCCTCCTCCCCTACTCTGGCATTTTGTTTCTTCTCCTTCTTCCTCTCCTCCTCATCCCCTTCTGAGTGCTTGCACTGCGGTGTTTACCCTGCAACAAGGCCAATACGGATGCAAGCTCTCTCGTAAAGGGAAATCCCACGGGTGTCAGTAAAGGTATTCCCCCTCTCGTATCAAGGATGATGTATTTATCTAGAGCTTCATTCAATGCGGTGAAGTACCATGAAAGACGCATCTTACAATGATAAGCATAATTCCCTTGAGGAACATATTGATAGCACTGCAACAAAATACTGCACTCGCAACGAAGAGAGAGAGGAAGAGTGTGGGTGACATATTTGTCCTCTTACGTATGTCCTCAGACATATTTTAAATATTGGGAATTATAATAAAAGACACCCTTGAAGTTGTAGAATCTTTAAGGTATCTAAAAGCCTCTTGTCTGGATGGGTTACCTTGCTGAACCATGCCGACATTTGAAAAATGAGGAATAAGAAACTTAGGAAAGTTTTGACTTTTCTAGCCTCAAGTTAAAAGCATTTCGATCTCAGATCTCGGAAAAGTGTGGATCTCATTTATTAGGCTCAAGATTTATGATGTGTATTTAACATTTACGCGATTTTTTTTATTTTTAATTAAAATAAAAATAATAGATATTTGATCCACATATAAAAACAAATTCTGAGTGTTAACTATTGAATGTCGGCCATTTTTAGTGAAAATCCTACACCCTGTCAGTTGGAATATGTCATCAAAAAAACTTTAAAATATATTTTATAGAGTTCAGTAAAGAAGGCATGAAGATTGATAAATGAAATTTTTTACCTTTTATTCTTCCTTCAACTTCAGCCTCTGACTTGCAGTATAAACAATAGTCGACTAAATTTCGTAAGATACCCTATCACTATGGACCATCTGATAGAAGTTTATATTTCACTACTATGGAAATAAATTGTATCCTTAGAGCAAACCATTTGGATTGATAATAAAAGAAAAAGCAGACCTTTTGCAAAAATGAAAGTGAAAGGAATATATTTCTTTACAAAAATTTAGGAGTCCTTCCAGAAATTTTCCTAATCGCTAGGTTGTCCTGATGAGTACATACTTGAACGTGAAGCTTGAACCGTGTTTCTTCCCTTTGTTTATTTGTGATGAGAGGTACAGCAAGTACATTTCAGTGTTCCCTTACATCTCAAGCAACCTTATGGGATCTCTCTCTCTCTCTCTGTGTCTCTGTCTCTCTCTCTGCCTCTCTCTCTCTCTCTCTCTCTCTCTCTCTCTCTCTCTCTCTCTCTCTCTCTCTCTCTCCCTCTCTCCCTCCTCTCCCTCTCTCTCTCTCTCTCTCTCTCTCTCTCTCTCTCTCTCTCTCTCTCTCTCTCTCTCTCTCTCCTCTCTCTCTCTCTTTCTCTCTCCCTCTCTCTCTCTCCCTCTCTCTCTCTCTTTCTCTCTCTCCCTCTCTCTCTCTCTTTCTCCTCTCCCCCTCTCTCTCCCTCTCTCTCTCTCTCTTTCTCTCTCCCCCTCTCTCTCTGCCTCTCCCTCTCTCTCTTTCTCTCTCTCCCTCTCTCTCTCTCTGCCTCTCCCTCTCTCTCTTTCTCTCTCTCTCTCGCTCTCTCGCTCTCTCTCTTGCTCTCTTCCCTCCCTCCCTCCCTCGCTCTCTTTCTCCTTCTCTCTCTCTCTCTCTCTCTCTCTCTCTCTCTCTCTCTCTCTCTCTCTCTCTCTCTCTCTCTCTCTCTCTCTCTCTCGCTCTCTCTCTCAGCTCTCTCTTGCTCTCTTCCCTCCTCCCTCCCCTCCCTCCCTCCCTCTCCTCTTTCTCCTTCTCTCTCTCTCTCTCCACCCCCCTCTTTCGTTCGCTCGTTCTCTCCCGTCTCTCTCTTTCTCTCCCCCACTCCCTACCTCCCCCACCTCTCTCTCCCTCTCTCGTTATCCCTCGTCTGCTTCTTCCCCCCGGTGCTGGACCTCGAAACACAAAGAATCATCCTTCCAGCACACCATGTGCAGGCGCATGTGAGTTCTTACTATCCCGCTTCCTTTGCCTTAATTTCCACATTCTGCATATTTTCCTTCTGCACTGAAACAAACGCATCCTCCTCCATCATCTCACGCGCTAGAACTCCTCAAGGACAAACGGGCTTGCTCAGGAAACCGTCGGCACCCGAGGGGAGGTCTATTCTCTTTTTCTTCATTTCCGCCATGCACGAGGAACGCCCTCCCGTTTTAGAAGTTTTATGACGATTGCTTTCAAACTCCCGTGACAGACCCTATTAATGATCAACCGGATCCCATTTGGGAGACGCTGTTTGGTCGATGAAATGGGAAAGATTGTTTAGTCCTCTGTCTTTAAGATATGGCTGCCTCCATAATGGTTGTGAAGCCCGGTTTCCCCTTTTCCTTTTGTATCTACGACCTAGATAACAAACCCAAAGCTTTCCCTCCAACAAGCTTTTCGCAACACAGATGGGTTTTGCGCGAAGTAATCTCTCTCTCTCTCTCTCTCTCTCTCTCTCTCTCTCTCTCTCTCTCTCTCTCTCTCTCTCTCATTGCCAGCATATTCTTTGGTGTTTCCCCCCGTTTCTACTATAGTGAATGAAAGCAGTTCCCGTTTCCTCAGTCATGTTTTCTTCTACCTTTTTTCCTAATTTTATTATCCTTTTATTCATCAACTATATCCCTCATACTTCTCAATTCATTTACTGGGCTCTTCCTGATTCTTAAAGAGTTTGCGTATAGTTTTGTTCGTCGAGGACCATTCTTCTCCCCTCCAAGTGCTGCTAATTTTGCTTCTCATTGGCAGATATCCTTTTAATGTAAAATCACAAGGATTTCAGAATTCCCTCTGCAGCTGGATATTGGTTGACTATCGTAGGGATCTTCCGTAACCCCTACGTCAGCTTTTGCTTATTTTACTGCTTCGTTGTTGGTTTTTTTCTGATACTTTCCTTTCTAATCCTCTTTTTTATCATCTTCCTAGTTTACCTTTCGATTGTATTCCTACAGGATCGGTGAGGGATGACAGACGCGTGATGCATCGATCTTCAGATTTATCATGGGTCATGCAAGGGGAGAGAGCTCTGGTTAATGAGGCAGCCATGAACTCGGCCCAAATAGGTTCTATTAGCAGCTGCGATCTCCTAGATGCAAAAATCGGACAACATCAACGTTGCGGAACAAAGCACTGCCCTGGCTGCGGACACAAACTCGAGAGAAAACCGGTATGTGTAATAGATGTGCATGTTACTTCGAGGGCATCACCAGAGGAGTCCAGGATTTCTTTTTGATATATTTATTACTTGAATGTTAGTCTTTCTAGTATATTACAACAGAAAGTAGAGACTAATAAGGCTGGTTTTGTGGATTATCTATGTCGATTAAAGGACTGGGTCGGGCTGCCGGCGGGAGTTAAATTTGATCCAACGGATCAGGAACTGATAGAGCACCTGGAAGCGAAGGTTAGCTCTGGGGAATCGAAATCTCACCCTCTGATTGATGAATTCATACCCACAATTGAAGGAGAAGATGGAATTTGCTATACCCATCCTGAGAAGCTTCCTGGTCAGGAAACTCTCTCTCTCTCTCTCTCTCTCTCTCTCTCTCTCTCTCTCTCTCTCTCTCTCTCTCTCTCTCTCTCTCTCTCGCTCTCTCTCTCTCTGCACTAAAATCTTGGCCCTAATCTTATTCTTAAAGGGGTCACAAAAGATGGCTTGTGCAAGCACTTCTTCCACAGACCCTCCAAGGCCTACACAACGGGCACGAGGAAGCGAAGGAAAGTCCAGACTCTAGAAGGCGGCGAGACAAGGTGGCACAAGACAGGCAAGACAAGGCCGGTGATGGCCAACGGTCGGCAGAAAGGATGTAAGAAGATACTCGTCCTCTACACCAACTTCGGGAAGCACAGGAAGCCCGAGAAAACAAACTGGGTCATGCACCAGTATCATCTTGGGCAGCTGGAAGAGGAGAAGGAAGGGGAGCTCGTGGTGTCGAAGATCTTCTACCAGACCCAACCGAGGCAGTGCAGTTGGACCGCGGACAGGGGTGCAGCCATTGCTGCAGACGCCATGGAGCATGTGAGAGACAACGGCAGCGCGAGCTCCTCGTCAAAGGAAGCTGTTAACCAGAGAGATGAAATGTCACCCGGAGGCGGGATCTCAGGATACAGCGCCGCAGGTATCCAGTGTATGAACTCCGATAGCTTTGGCTTTTCGCCGTTCGGGAAAAGCTTCGATCAGGTAACTATTGCTGGACCATGTGAGAACTTAGTTTCGGTATTCGTGCATGCTTGTCGTAAATAACTTCCCGAGAAATGATCTCATAGTTTTTGTTTATAGCATGAAAAACATCGCAAAAATTTTCAACCGCAATAACTAGTCAGGAGTCGGTTTGATCTGTTGTCGGCGTTATCTATCCTTCTTCGATTTTCTAGACCGCCTCGAAATAAGATTTTCTCTATCATTATTCATCAGTGCATGAAGTAGACTCTCTTGCAAATATGTACACATCACAACATCCTCCTGGGTCATCTTCACCATCATCTACATACATATGAGACATACTAAACTAGAAGAGTTGTAGAAATGAAAGAAAGAGAGGAAAAAGACCCTGCTTAGAAGCGATAAACTCGTGGAAAGATGTAAATGGAAATTTTCAACAGGTAGTGATGGGAGAAACCTCAGCACCCGTGGGAGGGGAGGTCGCGAGTCGCCCCTCCAAGAAGCATGAAGAGCACGAGCACCATCCTCACATACTCCAGGAACAGGAAGGTCGAGCTGCCTCCGCATTTCACGTCATCAGGCCCAGTGACTCCATCATCACCGCCATCCTGCCTCCTGCCCCCGTCCACGAGTCATCCATGGTCCTAGACGACTCCTACGTTGTCTCCAGAATGCTCTTCGACAACGACAAGTTCCAGGTACTCTCTCTCTCTCAATGTGATGCACTGGAGTGCGCATTTGTTTTATCATTCCGCTCGCCCAATTGTCCGGTTGTATTCTGCTGGTCATGGTTCAAATATCATTTTCCATGTTTATTATTAGGCAACAAATTTAAAACAAAAATGGCTGTGCTTTCATCATCATATTCCTACCCCGTTTATCAACAAGATTGCATGAACACGATTGATTCAACTTAAATGTGTTCGTAATATTCTAAAATTAAATGATTTAGTAATAGATAATATCTGGATCGGAACCTTCTAGAATAATGGTGCGTAGCATATCTGTATCACTACCGAATTGTTTCGTCATCTAGATTTGGCGTTTTCCTGTTAAAAAGGAAGCCCGTGATCTCTGCACCCCGACGAAGATACATACTTTGTGCGCTCCAACAAACCGATAAAAGATATCGAAAAGAGAGATTAACGATTTATGTGTACAGTCATCTACCCATTTTAATGAGCATGAATGTTCCTGGAGAGTTCGATGCTTTTCCTAAGATTATAGATGCTATTCTGGTTTTCTGTGAGCTCTGTCATCAATTCTAATTTCACCGTGCAACTGTTCCAACAGGAAACATCTATCCCAAGCTCCGACGAAACGGAATGGCTGAAGTACTCGTACTGGCACGACACAGACAATCGAGATCATCATGATTAGGGGAAAAAAACAGAGCAGTAGAGCATACATTATCTAGTGTTGAAAACAAAAGAAACCCATCTCTTCTCTCTCTCTCTCTCTCTCTCTCTCTCTCTCTCTCTCTCTCTCTCTCTCTCTCTCTCTCTCTCTCTCTCTCTCTCTCTCTCTCCCTCCCTCCCTCGACATCGATCTGTTGGAGAGAGAAAAAGCGAATTAGGGAAAATGAAAGAAAAGAATGAGAGATAAGCACAAAGAAGGAGAAAGCTGCAGTCGTTGCTGAGAGTAGATGTAATGTGGTATGCGATGGAGAAAGCTGCAGTCGTTAAGACACTTAAGCATCGACCGACATCATCAGCATTCTTCATTACCATAGCATCCCGTCTTTCCCCCCTTGCAGAGATCATAGTTATTGTCACCATATGGCTGTTTCTTATTCAACTGTCCCAGTGATTCTTCGAGTTCTCGAAAACCATAGAAGTACGTCACAGCGTAGTTTCTCCAAGAAGAGGTTGTCCCCATGAACACTTCAAAAGAGTATTTCGGCCCATCTCTAGCGTCGATTTATGATCCACATGCTTGTTTCAATTATTTCCGTTTATAGTTTTATCTTATATTTCCTGGCACTGGGATGGATGTATCTTCTTCATTGTTGTTCCGTTACGAGAGGAGAGCCTACGAGTCCTCTTCCCCAGAAGCGGTGTAATTTCAGAGTATCTGCAGCTGTACCGATCTCACTACAGTCTCGTCGATGGTCCTGGACCACGTGGAGACCATGCCACCTGTCCAGAGTAGTTAACGCTATTCTCTGGGACTACCGGCGCCGGAAGGTGAACATGACGCTACATCCACTTGCTATGCCCGTAAGAGAAGATTACTCCTCGACCCATGAGTATGTGGACTACTGTACCAAGTTACTAGAGTTTACATGATTCCAATTATAGAAATTATCATAACATTTTGAAAAAAACTAAAATAAAAATGAAATTCATTTTTAATTAGTTGAATTTTTTAAAGATTAGTCTCGAGAATCTCAGAAAAAAGCAGTTCTTTGTTTAAGAAGTGCATTAACAGGATCGTTATTCTCGATTTTGTGTCAAAAAATGTTAGGTTATTATACTTCAAAATAACTTTATGTTTACGTCACTACTAGTTTTTGTTTGGAAGAAAAAGCTATTCTTATTTTTTACTTTATAATGTAAATCCTGGTGAATAAACAACATAACCAAATATAACTCTTAAATAAGTCATTATATTCACATCATTATCCTTTGTGATAAAAATCTTACATTTTTGCCTCATGCTGGAAAAAGATTTTTTTGGTCAGTGCAATATCAAGGACGTCTCTTTCTTTTCTCTCATGTTAAATCTGGGATTAGTGAGCCTGGTCTAAATTTTGCATAAAGGTCTTAAACAAGTCAAACTCAAACATATCTACACCACTATTCTTGATAATAAAATTGCTGCATTAACTCCGTGTTGAAAAGATGACGAGTTTCTACTTAATGCTTCTAATACAGCATCAAGAAGCATATATTACGGAACTTAAATATCCATAAGTTTACTGGCTAACAATTCGTCCAGCTGCTCGTGGATTTTCATAACCCTGCTGCGGATAAATGGGGCATGCATTTATGGTTTTTTTTGTCGAGGTCCAAGCGAAAACTTTTCTTCCTATGGACCAGGGACCCAGGGATTAATTAGGACTGGCGGCAAGGTTTTCTTTTGGCCTATCTACTTCGTATGGCGGCCTGTCTCCATCGTGCAGCTCCTTCGTATATCGACCTTTCTCTTTCGTCAGTATTCCCACGTGTCTCCGCGCTATGTGCGGGCGCTATCAATGCAATGCGTATTAAATTATTGTCCGGGTGATATTCTAGTTTATTTGTTTCATTGAATTATATTATTTAATAGGATCTCACTCTTCAAGCTCTGGATCCAGGAGCAGGAGAGCTTGCGGATGGACCATGGCGACCCGAATCCCCGTGGTCATCATCTCCCTCTCCATCCTTCGTTTGGGAAGCTAACCTATGGTCTCATGTGAGTCGCGAGGCCCTCTCCCCATCCACCTTCGGCCCTGAGCACAGGGTTCCGCGGCCACCCTGTGGATGCCTACAACAGACGCCCCCTGGCGGTTTAGGTCAACAAACCTGCAGGGATAGAAAACCGTTCCGCAGCGGTGCGATCACTATGTCGATAACTATCGCAAGGACTGAGAGATGGTTGCGGATGCGGGGCTGGAGTTAGTCGAGAGCGTCAACCTTCGCGGGGACGGCAAAGATATCTGGGTCATCGATGTCGACAAGATGATGCTCTCCAACAGATCTAACTACACCGTCAATCCTCGGGTGTGTCACCTCTCTCTCTCTCTCTCTCTCTCTCTCTCTCTCTCCCTCCCTCCCTTGGGATGTTTCTCTTATGATGGAAGATCACTTTCATCCTCAGAGCGGAACCATTCAATTCCACAAGTTGGCCAGGCTCCGGGGGTGCTGGAGGTGATAAAGTTCTACATGCGCCAAATGAAAAGATCTTGGCTTGTCGGAGGGAAGACAAAAGATCAGTCACCGTCACCAAATGAAAAGAGTGTGGCATATATCAACTAGGAAAAGCTCATACTCAAGTACTCGACTCACCTAGCTCATGTTTGATTTAAGTCAAAAATTGTTTTAATGGTGATAAAATAGTTGAAAGGGTAAAGCAATAACTTTACATCAATATGTTAACTTTAATTGTATGTTCTAAATATGACATCAGTTTTTAATAACCTCTATTAAAATCGTACATAAAATGGAGGCCAAATGCGTACTGTTTTCTCATGTGTATATATTTCAAGGAAAATATGAGTTACCCAATCTATGTTAAGCTAACAGACTCAATAGAATTCATACAAAGAAATCGTTACATTCAAAAATAGAGGAAACAACATAAAGTATAATAGCATGAATGATTCATTTAACATTTATTACTATTTGGTAGAATAGCTAAATAAAGGTGGTTTATAATTGTACTTCACATTCGAGGAATCAAATCTATCACTTTATAAAAGAGGGGACTTTAGATTGAATTTCATTCCTTTAAGAAACTAGAAGCTTCCTATTTCAAGGATTCATGACCTCATGTTCCAATGGAGCATCTATTGTGTAATCTATAAGATCCATGCTTTCTACTATAATACTTGTTCTTGATGGATATCTAGATACATATCAGTGTCCCTTCCGAAAACTAAATCTTATGATATTTTATATTTTGCACATGTAGATATTGGACAGATCTTTTGGAACATGTTTTATAGAAGTTGATACTAGGATTTCATGATTTAAACATTAAGAGGGATAAAAGGATAAAACTCCTTTTTTTCATTCAGCTTTGCCCAAGTATTTGGTGAGTACTACCTTCTAAGGCAAAGATACCCCAAAGATGGAGGAACTCAAAAGCAACCTTAAACTCAAATACAGCTCATTGGAAACATAATTACCCCAATCTTCAAAAGAAATGAAAGTAATAGAAAAAATGGCATGGAGGAGAGGTGTGTTATGTTTCTACCTCTAGAAAAAGGGCATGAATTTAGTATCTCTTGAAGTGTAAACTATTATGATGTTTTGGCTTAGATTTTTAAATGTTTCTATCATATGTGCCTATAGAGACACTTATGCCTCTCATGATTAGGGTAGATCCTCTTATGCAAGCTAATTCCATTTGCAAACAATTGATGCATAAACAATCAA